GAACCAAAAAAAAATCCTGGAGCTGTGCAGGAGCCTGTGGGCAGGAAATGGTGAGGCATGGCGACTACTAGCCACATGGACCTTGGCGATGATGTTTGCTTGTTAAAGTACCACCTGGCACCACATGAGGTAAGTCTGGTGCACCAGAGTGGCAGATATGGATCTTGACCTCCCATAGTGCGGTTTTGATAGGCCTGGCGGTGGGTAGATGCACCTTTGACAAGGCCATCCCGCTGTAGCCTTGAGCTTACTCCTGAGTCGAGAGGGAGTCAGCTCAACAGGGGGCATTGCACATCAACGGCCACCGCCGAACTGCTCTTGCATGTAATCGAAGGTATCGGGGGATAGACCCATGTAGCTCGGTGAGGAGATGACAGGTCATCGGGGATGTTTTGGGTCATGTCTACAGTATGTAGTCAATGATAGAAGAAATATATGAGAGCACGCCTACTTACTTGTACAATACGCAGTAGAGGACAATTTTTTGTAGACTGCATGTTGGGCAGTTTGTGCAAGATATTACAGAGTAAATCAGATAGGGAATCGGAAGGAGCACGAAAAAAACCAGCAGCACCCTGATACTTATGAGGCTGATTTGAGCTGATGTGGACTAAACAAGTTAGAATGGTATAATAGCACAGAATCAAACAAACGTAAGACATTGAAATTTGTTCGGATAGGTAACCAAGGCCGACAAGTTCATGAGGGTGCGAGTGAGGCTCTCAGGAGTTCAACAGGCTAACAAGAGGGTTCAAGAATGAAGTGAATGAGGATAACATTATACATAATGCCAAATGACTCACTTTGCAATCAAATATTCGAGCTGGTGGTTCCATTGAAATGAGTTTGATCGTGTTGTTCAGAACCAGTGAAGCTAGTGTTATTCTGTGAGTACCATTAAGAAGTGAAAGCAGGAGAGACTTACCGGTAGATACCCAACCAAGACAGCAAGTTCATGAGGGTGTGAGTGAGGGTCTCAGGAGGCGCGAGAGGCTAACAAGAGGGTTCAGAACAAAGCAATACAGATAACGTTGAGCATAAGGATGATGCGAATATACATGATATCGAACAATGAGTTCAATCGTCGTTCAGAACCAGTGAAATTAGTGGGATTCTGTGAGTAAGTTAAGGAGTGACAAGGCAGGAAACATACTGGCAGGCACTCCTATATTTGCATGATCCCATTATGATGATCACGACTCGAGTACGAGATTCCTGAATACAACCTGAATTTTGAATGGTAACACCTGGAGCGATAACAACTAATAGTAAGTGTGACCCAAGACACCGGGAACTGCACAGGCATCAGCTGATCAAGCACTAATAAGCGCTCAGGATGGTTGTATGTAGAAGCAGCGAGATATCAAATATGCGACTGGAGGTCCGAGAGGCTACAGAAAGCTGTGAAATGAATATCATCTTGCGACTAAATATAACATTGATGAAACCATGAGTCTACTTCTGTTGTCCACATCAGAAATTAAAGTACGAATTCGAAAAGATTTGTTCTACTAACATGCTATCTATATCATTTGAAAACATTAATATTCAATTATTTGCTGTTATACCATCTGAGACGCTTGGCAGGCCGATGATCACTCTCACTAGCATCTGACTCCTCATCTAGAGTGTCATCATCAACATATTCAGAAGAAGATGCAGGCCGCTCGACGGCAGTGATTGGCGGGATAAGATCTGTGGTGTGAGCAATGGACGATGTTGTTGCTTTGGAGGCTGCTCTAGAAGCTGGCCAGGGTGGCAGGCATGATATGGTGTGAGTGGTGGATGGTGGTATTACTTTGGAGACTGCCCTAGAAGCTGGCTGGGGTGGCGGGCATGATATCTCTACAAAGACCTGAACATGACGGCGAGTAGGGGATGTAGCAGGATGAGCAGCACATGTAGAAGGATGAGCAGCACATGTAGGGGGTAAGGACGAGCGGGAGGTGTAGAAGGATGAGTGGGAGGTGTAGAAGGGGGAGAGGCAAGATGGCGAGGCCCCTTGCAGTCAATGTCACCATTAGCAAATGCACATTGCCCACAGGAGTAGATCGATCGATGTGAGGGTGCTTCTCCAATAATAACTGGGTCCGTTGTAGAGATACAACAATAGCTGGGCACTACACGAAGTAAGTAGCCAGCAATATAAAAATGTTGTGGTCGTGCACAGCCTAGTCTGCTTTACTTGCAAGACAAGTGCATTCAACCCGAGGGGTTAGCTATATGGAATGGTCTGTAGTTAGTGAAATGATAAATGGTCAAAAGTCCGAGCGTGAGAAACAAAGTCCGAGGGTATATCTACGATGTCCGACGCCAAAGTGTCGGGTCCGATGTTTTCAGGGTTTCGGGTTAGTGGGTTAGCGGGTTTCGGGTTTGGGTTTAGCGGGTTTGTGGGAATAGCGATAGTGAATGTCTGGGAAAGCGAGCGGTATGCGGATATATGATAATGATGGGTATTTCGGGTAGAAAGAGCAGTAATATTCGCAATGTCAACTAAGAACTATGAAATATCGGGTTTGACCACTAAGTATCGGGGAATGGCTCCCTACTACTTGGATAATGAAAATACTCGTAGTCAGTCCAATATATATATAAGTACGTAGAAATCCGGAACCCTATAGGCGAAAGTAGCGGCCGATGATTTCAGGTCCGAAGTACATGTAAACTAACATGAGGCGCTGCAGATGATGGGAAAACATGTAATAGCGCTTGCTACGACATGAGTAATGTGCAAAATAATCAACTACGCACCTAGTGGGGCTAGCAAGACGGGACGGGACATGGATAGGACAAGTGCACGGGAAAAAATTGGGTCCGATGCGGCTGAAACGTCAGGGTCCACCAGTCAAAGCGTCGGGTTTGTGTCAGGTTGTGCGGGTTACATCGGAAAGCAACGGGCATTAAACGTGTATCGGGAAATCAGTGAATACATGCCTAGCGCGAGCTCGAGTGCTACACCATAGACATTGTAAGGCGTGTGCGAGCAGCATCATTTGTCACGGCTCGAATGGTGAGGGTGCCCATCTTGAGCGCATTGACAAGATTGATACGATGAGGAAGGGTCAGATCATGGATGCCTTTGCTCCGAGAAAGCGTAGGTCGAGTCTCGCCGGGCATCAAAGTCTTGTTAGGGTAGTTGACGAGGCAACATCCGAGCCGAGCTAGCTCCTTGGGCAGGGTTTTCCAAGGGAAATCGTTTTGGGTACGCCCACGCAGGGTGCCACTGACAGATGCTGAAATAAAGTCAAGATCAGTGAAAAAAGGACACAACAAACCTTACCAACAAGAGCCGTTAGGCCACCCATGATACAAGGAATGCCATCAAGGGTCTTCCATCCAGCATCAACTTGGAGACTACTAACTCCTGGGTCTTCTGGTATCACAGCTGCAGTCCACAAGCTAGAGGCGATCAGTAGAATCCACATATGAAACTGACTAAGGACTTACGAGGTGAGTGATAGTAAAGGAGTGCGCGTCTGTCTGCATGGCAATGTCAACAAAGTGCGAGGACTTGGATATGATTGCGGTCATTCTGCAACAGGAATACAGGCAAGGTGCAATAGTAGATACAGTTGATCGATAACGTGAAAAACAGGCCATGGAAATTTTGGAATTCTGCTAAGTTCAGAGAAACCTCCTTCAATAGCGCCGAAAAGCTATGACTTACCAAAAGTGGTAAATGAGCGCGGGTTAGTTGGCCCAAGAGGGTTAAGTGTTTCGCCTGGGCTCATAGAGGCTACTGGGAGGCCTTCTTGAGGCTATTGGGAGGCCTTTTTGAGGCTCCTGTGGGGTGGTAATGGGATTCACTGCGGAAACGAGGTTTTGATCGGACAGAAAACATCTGCGCAAAGCAACATGACTAAAGAGGACACATTGGAGCTCCACCTTTCAACACCGTTCACCACCCAGCACACCAAAGGCAGCTACTAAGTGAGTAGGGTGGAACTACATGCACAAAAGGTTGCAGCAGATGCAAAAATCGCAGGATGATATAGTGAGGATGGTAGAGCAGCATTGGTCTATTTGGTTTGGTTGAACTTTCATGCCATTATGATGTTTGTCGTACTGTGACAACTTTTTACATAATATGAAATATGCTAACTAGTATAGCTCAGAGGACTTTCTCCGAGTCACCGGGAGTGATTGGTGAGCCAATGAAATTGAAAATACAAATCGCACTGAATTTAAAAGACAAATGGACAGGGATTGACTGCCAGCCAAGCTGCCTGGACTGGTGTCGTCGACTTCCACAGTACGCCCGATCATGCTAATACAAAAATAAAGGCCAGAACTTCGTGTTTGATGGCTGTATTGCATTCTGACGGGTAACAGGATAACATCGCAATATGAACTTAAGATCAAGTTTGGTCTTCACACAGTTTTGACCATTTGCCCACTTGCCTGGTCTCTATGGGTCGCAAAGCTAAGTACTTCACATTTGAAGAGAAATCGGCAGCTGCACGGCGACACAAAGCATCATATGCTCGGTCAGAACAGTCAGTATTTTGCAATCATTTGTTTTGCAGAGGTAAAATTGTTCGCCAAGCTCAGAATGCTTGTGCATATGCCAAATGTCATGGTCGACGTGGGCCTCATAACATATCTGGGGATCTGCATGATCCTCGTACATCTTCACTAATCCGATGCTCGACCTTCTCCCTTCCCGATTCCTATCTGTTTCATCAATCTCTCGCAGGATTCGACTTGATTGATCAATCCGATCTCTTGCAGTGGGACAAAGCCCCTCCTTATGACTCTCCAGCTCCACCTGACTCACCAGAGGAAGACCGTTTCATGCAAAATCTCTTGGACGTGATGCATGGCCGTCACTTGCGCGCAGAAAGGGAATCACATACCCACCGTACAGCCATGTATAGCATGGGTGAAATCTCCAAGGTTCTGAAGGAGATCCGAGAAGTGCATCAGCAGTTAGTTACAGGTTTGGATGAGCTTCATGCTCGTGTCAGCAACTTGCAGGCATGCACAAGACACAAGGTCATGGTCGAATGCTATCGCCAATGGGTAGCGTGAAGGATATTGAATTATCAGAGGGAGGATGATATACTGATTACTGGGAAGAATCCATATATGTAGACTTTGTACTACTGTAACTTGAGAGAGCTGGTAATGCAAGAATCATAGTCTGCATATAGCCATCGCAGATTGTCCATGTCCCGCTCATGTAGGCCTGTTATATGGCTGCCACGTACAACGGCAAATATTGCAGCCAATATCCATAGGCCACAATCAAAGTCATTATTCTGAAGACATTTGATCTAAATAATACATAATGTCAGACTAGTTAAGAAAGCCAAGTATGCAACTCACATTCAATGGTCGAGCCACCCACCCTTCGAGATCAATATGAACATGATGGCCATGTTGACGCGCAATTGCAATGAACCGAGCAATCAGTCTTATTATATGCTTTCATATCAGGTGCCAATCAATCAGATGAAAAGGACACTTTAAAATTAAACTCACTTTGACGTCACTTTGCCAAGGCATCCTATCACCCATGCTATCAAAAAGGTAAAGTTCTTTGGTCGACAACTGGATTATGCACATCACTCAGTGTCCAATGCATGACGGATGATGAATTGGAAGTACCCAGATGTCTTTTTCCCAATAACTGAATCCACGATGTGTGGCGCCAGATGATATCAGTCTGGGGCATTATAATGAATGTGGGGAAGATCATGAGTAGAGAGCATTGCGCACTGTGTAGTGGAAGTATTCAGCTGAGAGCACCACAGGAGAATGGCGCAATTGTTGATACATATATCATTGAGGCATGCAGTAGGAGAACTGAGTATACCAATGTCTTTTGGCTCAAAAAGTAGACGAGGGATTCCATCATGTGAAGGTCGTATTCGTGCAAAATTTTTAGCAGGGTCAAGGATGTCTGGCTCTTGCGATGGGACGCAGAAGTCATCCACAAGGAGATTCTATGACATGTCAGCGTCAATTCCTAACAATAAAGATAAACGTACATCAGGAAGGTTCCAGCAAATCATGGCATTAACTTTGCACCCATAATTTGTTGAGTCATTGTCATCTAACTCCAATGCCCCCATCTCACCCTCCAGGACATTCGGCAAGTGCTGCTTGTTCAGAATCAACTTGGGGGCAATGGTCAGGATCAACGATAGGGAGTTCATCACTACCCACAGAATCAGGCACTACCAGCGTGCTGGCATTAATCCAGTGAAACATCATGTTTGGCGAGCCTCCCGAGAGGGTGGTCGCAATGGCCACTGCCTTGCTGACTTTGTTAGTAAACCGTACTGAAGAAGCTAAGCAATTTGACCATCGTGTTTGAAGGCGGATAAAATTGGGCATGCCGTTGCTGCAATGGAACTGCGAAAGGCTCACCTAAGGATGGGTGAGAAATGGAAGTTGAGAAGAAAATTAACTCACTCTTCGGCGACCAAAGGGCAAGTTCAAGCGCCGCCAACTCATTTCCAAAGAAGCGGCACAGGTTATCAAGCCTCAACACCCAGCTGAACCTGCTCCTCTCGACACCGGTCATGCTTGAGCAGTGCACGAATACCATCTCTTATGGATGTGTCGTCTAACCATCGTGGAACCTCTCCAAGAGATGGCGTAATCCATACATCCTCCATCAGTCCTGGGTCAGAACATAGTTCCGCAAGTTTGGTGGGAAGGGGTGCGGGCAGTGGAATCCCCCAGGATGTATCATACAATGAATTGAGCCGCTCGCAGTAGGAGTTGAATCTCCTGATAGCGGTCATTAGTGCAGGCTGACACTTTGAAATTGCTTTACATGTCTGTTGATGCAGCTTGGTGCCTGAAAGAATCTGATAAATCATTGACTAACAAAAGAGCACGAACTTACCTAACACTTGCTGGATGCCACCTACTGCTCGATCAAGTTTATCCCACTCAAAGAAACTTGCAATCGCATGTTTATGAACGTTCATTTTGAGATCGCGTGCCATTAGAAGGATGCGAACAAATTCGAGATTGATGCCATGAAGCTCAGGGAACCTGTCATGAACGTTCAATGAAGAGTAAAGAGCCTCGACCTTGTTCATCAGGCGATCGTGTCCCCTCTCTAGACTTTCGAGAGCCTCTGGAGTATCATCTGAAGCCATATCTTTCTCCAACATCGTCCTGGCAGTTTGCAATGCTTTGTCTGAGGTGTCCAGATCTGCCTGGAGAGCTAGGACAGTGTCCAACTCCTTCTTGAGGCGGGCGGGCGCATCTTGCGATATCATTGAGTAATAGTTACACCATTAAAAATGTATAAAACCTACGAGCACGGATAGATAACTGAGAATGCCTTTGCTGCAACCACTCGGACTGCAATTCTTCAATGGGGACCCCACATCGATCTAGCGCGTCTTGGGCTGCCGAACCTTGCTCCTTGATGCCCCGTCTGAGGCGTCGTTTGATCCAGTCGCCAAGGTCAATTCGCATCTCTGAAGCTATAGCCACTGCTTGCCGATCGATTAGCCATAAACAGTGTTGGCGCTAAGCAGTGTTTTAAATGAATTAGTTTATAATGAAAATAATAGAGTACATACACTAGAAGTGTGCTCAACACCTATCAATTGAACTAAGCAAGACCAAAGGCGTTCAGTCCCTTCGCCATCGGATAAGCCAAGACCCACACATATTTGTGGATTATATATGAGCTGGCAAGCCCACTTGTGGCCATATGCGTGCATTGCAGTGGTTGCAAATCGAAGGTGTGAGGTGATACTTATGGGAAGAATGTCATACTGTAAATAGTGTAAGCAAGTAGTTCCGGCCAGGATCATAACGTACCTTGGAGAGTGTTCGTGCCAAAACACAGCCAATATCATAAAGGGCTATGACAGTAGCTTCAGGCAGAAGAAATGAAAAGAAGTGGTGAAGTAAAGCTACTGAATACTTCTGCTGTTCTCCAGGTGAGTCTATATTGGCAAAAAATAATGGGATGTCATGACAACAGATAAGGGCCATGATTCCAGTGTCATCAAAGCTATCCATAGCGGCTTTCTGTTTTTTGCCATCAGCAGCCTCGTAAGCATTCTTGCATTGGTCAATGGCTTCGTTGGGGACAAGAGGCACGTGAGACTTCACAGGTCGCTTACATTGAGTGTCAATATGGTGCCCAATTGCGTCAACAAAGCTTTTGGGGAGAAAATAGGTAGGGTCATAGAAATTTGGACAGTCTCCAGCAGCACATCGATGACAGTGATGGAAATTACCATCCATTGCAACGTGGATGTCACCTCCTTCATCTGTGGATCTACCATGGAGTATACCTGCAAAGCAAGCAGGACACCGTTGCACTAGAAGAGGTGTGCATTGAGTGAGTGAAGGCGAATTTTGGACTCAAGAGGACACTTGAAACTTCACTATATGATCACAATGTTGTTGAACAACCATCTCGACTTGGCGCTCAACTTCAACTTGCAGGATGTCATACCATTGGATGGCATAGCCGGGGCCTCGGCGGAAGGGGTCCTGTATAACTTTGCCCTGAAACACTAATGAATCAGTAGTGATATAAGTATGTAACTGATTGTTACCTGGGCATCAGTCATCTGGTAACCCCACCAGGAATAGTAATTTTTGAGCGCTGATGCGAGTGCGTTAATCGCGTCACATGAGTGCTCAAACAATGTGCAGTAGAATGAAAGCAAGTCAACAGACACAGCCATCTGAGGCTGTGAAGGCGCGGTTGGGAATAGACCATGGTGGATGAGGACCTGCTGGAGAGTCGAGCAGGTACAACTTAGTACATCTATAGATGTAAAGCCTAAATAAATGTTAGCAAAAAATTGAACACTGCAAGATATGGGCTGATGATTGAAAAATAAACACATCATTGTTGTCTGTTTCGGTGTACACAAAGGCTCCCGCATGCAGATATGACTGGACGTATATTTTCCAGTGCTTTGCCCTGCATTTGTCCAAAGTACTGGAGTACCGGATCAACAAGGGTTGGTATGAGTGCAATCCAGTTTTTATACAGTGAATTAGTGGGTTGGTCTGGTAGGATCCGCCATTTGACAGACATTACTGAGATCTCCAGAGATGGTCGTTCATCCATGTCTTCGGAGTGGAATTTGACAAGATTGTCAGCATCCATGTGTTCCATAGTCACAGTATTGGGTGGTGCAGCTTGAACAGATAACTGCAGGTGTGGTTCCTCATGTTGCGACTTCATAAGTCGCTCTATTGCATCTAAAAGTCAGCAGCGCTTCATCTCTGCGCCAGGCAGCTTAACATATGTTTGGGTTTTTCGTTTGTCTCGAGCTTTCCTTGGGCTTACAAAGTGAGAGCCTAGGCCAGCAGATGCAAGTTGAGCTTTGTGAGTGCAACGAAGCGTCGAGGAAGACATGGTGGGGGAAAGAGAAGAACTTACAGTGTGAAACAGGGAGGAGCAAAGCTCCCAAGCTCAGCACATTGGAGCCACAGGAGAGGCTGGAGGGTTTTCGGGAGGGGTACGAGAGGTTTTATGGAGGATCGGGAGGGTTTTCTGGAGGGTGCGAGGGTTTTCTGGAGGCACATGAGGGTTTTCTGGATGCACGTGAGGGTTTTCTGGAGGTGCGCAGTGCATGCTAGGAGGATGTATTATTAATAGACTGCTGTTTGAGCCAGATGTGAGCCTGCAAACAACCAGCTGGCTCAAACAAATGCTTACTAAACGAGCCAAACACGTTCTCTGGATGCACATCTTCATTTGCGTGTCCTCATCTTTTTTCAAAGTGAGAGCCTAGGCCAAATGATGCAAGTTGAGCTTTACGAGTGCAACGAGGTGTTGAGGAAGACATGGTGAGGGAAAGAAGAGAAGAACTTACAATGTGAAATGGGGAGGAGCAAGGCTCCCAAGCTCGTTGCATTGGAGCCACGGGAGAGACTGGAGGGTCTGGAGGGGTACGAGAGGTTCTCTGGAGGATCTGGAGGGTTTTCTGGAGGTGCGCGAGGGTTTCCTGGAGGTGTGTGGTGCACGCTAGGAGGATGTGTTATTAATAGATGGTGGGAGGGTGGGTCTAGCAGACTACTTTCCCACAACATAGAAACCAGGTCTGAAAGACCATTATTGGTTCTGAAAAGTAATGCCTGAGGTGTAGATCAGACAGATATTGGGCTGGGATGTATGAGAGTTGTTTTTAGAGATCATGGTTGGTCCCACATCCCTCCCAGTTAGTGATGTGCTGGCCCGGCTTGGCCTGAAAGCCACGGCTTTGGCCTGGCTTGAGGCAGCTTTGGCTTTCGAAAATCTCAGGCCAGGCCGCGAGCCAAAGCCAGGCCAAAGCCATGGCTTGGCTTTGGCCCAGCCACGGCTCATAGTGGAGGAAAGTTAGAATATACATTTAGGAACTACTCTAGACTAGTAATCTGACATTTCAGATACAGATATGTCATTACTGTTGTCATTGTCATCTTCCAAAACTAATGTGTCCCAACCCTCTTCGTCATCTGCAACATCACCCACCTTCTCTGAAACACTGGCTTCAGTGTCAGAGTCATTGAACTCTTCTTCCATGAGTGACGATGGCCCAGCCTCGTGAAACAAAAGATCACGACATAGTGAGCATTTAAGACTTTGGAGCGCTTCCACTATATCACCTTTGAGCCGATTCCAATGTTTACTGATTGTGATTCCGCCTTGTGAAATGCTCGTTCACTTGAGACAGATGATGTCATGATGGAGAGATAGTCGCGTGCAAGTGATGCCCATGTTGGGTACCTCGGTGCATTAATCTTAGCAACATTAACATTAGTAATGAGTTTCAGAGTAGCATATGATATACTCACACCCCACCATTGAATTGTGCTCATTCTGGCAGGTGGAGCAGCCTCAATAGTCTCGAGATAGCTTAAGAATTCAGCCCTCCATGGTCTTAATGGGTCTCCAACAGACAGAATGGCAGTGTTATTTGAGTCGTCGTCATCAGAGTCACTGAGGACTTCTCGAATGAGCTTCTTGAGAGCACCCATTTTACTTTTGTTAGTCGTTGGCTGTGACAACAACGACAACAGTGGCCACATTCAACTCAGAATGATGTGCTTTGAACTTGATGTGAATTTGAATCAGATAGAAAAAAAATAAGGGTAGATGACTAACCACACCCTCAGCACAGGAAAGCACAGTCATTGTGGAGATGTTCAGGCCATTGCTTCTTGAAATAGGACATTTTTGCAGTTGGATCGAGTACTATAAGTTACAATCAAAGTTAGCACAAATCAATCAAATGATAAATCTGCACGTACAAATGGCCAATACATATGCTGGTGTATTTGTTGTCTTCTTGTAATACTCGTCCAACTTGGCTGCTGCAGCTGTGAGCGCAGGTGCGAATCGAGCATATTTCATTTTTTCAGCATGTGAAGACCAAGTCTTGTGCAGGGTTTCTAGCACGGGAATAGCCAGATGTAAAGTCGAGCCCTTTTCAGATGAAAATGCCTGTTGAGCCACATCAGCGTATGAGAGAAGATCTGCAAATTGTCTGACACACATTCACTCAGCAGTCAATAGCTGTAGGAAATCTATCTTGGCACGTTTTGTCAAGTCCCACTCTTGCCGACCCATCTCGTATATGAATGTATCTATGTGCTGTACAAAACATTCTGAGTCAGATGTAATGAACACAGAGATATCAAGATGAAACTTACATCCCTATTTGTTTCAGCTCGGTTAAGCATTACAAATGTCGACTGACCACCTGAACTTTCATGTCAAGCAAGAGTTGAGTTGGCCGAGATACTCCTGCCTTAGTCTGAATGTTCTTGTAGAGTTCCTTTTGTTTCGCAGATGAATGTTCCTGAGGGAGATCAACATATGATACAATGAGATAGTAGAGATGTTAACGTACCTTGACACAAATACTGCAGACAAGCCCAATTTCATCCCGATCCTCAATGTGTTGTGATGTATCAGATTCATGACCTTTCGGATCATGAGGGCTGTAATGGGGTGCTGTACTGTATGTGCTGAGGAAGGTCTGTGTTGCAAGGTTGATAATGTGAGCTAAGCAACTATGAAAATCATAAGTTAGCAGTAAGACTTGTCAAGTAAATAACAATAGTGAAGTACTTGATCCTTCGCTGGCGCCATGGAAAGATTTTGGTGTATCTAACTTCGTACACCCTGTGCAAATTCTTCGAGTGTAGTACTGTTATTCTTTGCATTATCGCATGTGATGTGGCCAAGCTAGATAGAAATATCAGATCAAGAATGCCCTGTCACATGCGATTGACTAACCTTGTGCAGCGACACCAATCCAATCGAGAATCTTGAATAATGCACCACCAAGGCGTTTTCCATTGTGTGCATTGTTCACCTTTGTAAATCCAAACAACGCATTCTGGCATTCCCACTGTCCTGGATTGTTTTCTTCAATCCAATGACCAGTCACGGCAAAATATCCTGTCAGTGTTGCTTGCTTGCCACGCATCGCATGTGATGTTGATATCCCTGCTGACAGAAGTGCTCTGATTATATCAGATCAGACAATGTCAGATAGTGTTGACAACTGTACTTACATTCAGTTTCTTCTTGAGTCGAGATAGATGGTTCTTGAACATCCGCATGATCTCTGCTTGCGTGGCTTTTCGACCAGGAATTTTGACACCTTGAGTTGCGCGTGAGGCAACATCTACCATCTCCTTGAACTTGGGATGTTTGAGAGCCTGAATTGGCTTGTGGATAATTATCATCAGCATAGTAGTAGTTTATGATATTAACAATCCTACCTGGTCAATCGTGATGAGCCACTCAATTGCAGCTTTTCGAAACAACTGGTCAGAGTAAGGGATGACACGCTCCGAAATCTTGCGCTCTGTCACATGCGCATCAATGGTTTGCTGTGCTTGTGCAACCTTCTTTTTTTCAGCAGCAATATCACCAGGCAATTTCGACACGAAGGAATTGGCCTTGGCCCATTCCTATATTTCCCCGCAAATCAAGCTTCGGCGTGTCGACGTAGTGTAGTTGGCTCGTTCACAATGATACAGTGACCCCTGCAAGTAGAACATGTAAGATTAATAATAAAGACAACACAGAGGTAAGATGACATACAGGCAAACTGTGCATTTACAGTGTTTTTTCACTGTTCCATTGGCACCGGTACGCTCAAAAGGTTTGCTGAAAAATCTATCAAGGTCGCGAGTCTTGTCTTCTCGTGGGGGACCAGGGTCAGTAAGTGGCTGGACGTTGATGTCAGCAAGAATTCCATCCTCATCAACATCTTCTTGATCTGTTACAGTGGCTTGACAGACTCATTTTGCTGTTTTCAAATAAGTAAAACAGATACATTGATAGAAGCAAAGGAACTCACATTTTGGATTTGTACGGGCATTTTCATGTTCATCATCATGCTCGTCATCACCATCTTCTGTTACAGTGGCATGACGGACTCGTTTTGCTGTTTTCAAATAAGTAAAACATATACATTGACAGAAGCAAAGGAACACACATTTTGGATCTGTACAGGCATTTTCATGCTCATCGTCATCGTTTTCAATGTCAGTATCAAAAATTCCTTCAACCCATGCCCTTTTGTTGTTCTCAGGAGCAGGTGCAGACAGTGTAGTGTTGGGGGAATGAATTTGGTTTTCATCAGCAGCAACTAGTTGGCGTTCAGTGGTGAGTTTTGCAGCTTCAGCAGCACGGAAGTCATTGATTGCTTTCGTTTGGGAAGGGAGGGCCGCCTTCTCTGAATGCTGGAGAAGTGCAGCTGTAGGTTTTGTTTTGCGCACCGGGCATGCAACAACACAAAGTTCATCTTCAGTTGTCTGTGTGAATTGTACTGACCATCAGAGGCTAGTAGGTAGGGACAGAATGTGGTGAAAAATGTCAATTGGGGGTGTGTGACACTGTAACGAGCAAGTACTTAGTAAATTAGGATAGAAACATAAAAAATTAGCAGATCATAGGAATAAAGATTTGCAATATAGACAAGCACGAGCTGATGTCAAAGTGTCGCTCACTCATCCTGCTTTTGGTTGTGCCCTGCACAGCTTCACTCTCCCCTCGTACCTATCTCAGATCCTTCGGCCTTCGACATGGTAGATCATTCAGACTCTAGTGCAGGAAAACTCACTCATATGCAACCACTTGATGGTTTGTGTGGTGAGGGAGTGGCGAGGGAGTTGCGAAGCACAGCTGACTCAGAGGCTTGAAAGGCAAACAAGTTGCTGGTAACAAATGTGCCTATGACACGAAAGTAAGTTATGATGATGCACTTATATCGACGTCGCGACTCACTGGCACCGTTTTCTGACATGGCTTGATATGATGATGATGTGACGACGTAGTTGTCCGGAGAAACAAAAATAGATGTTAGCAAATCGTCATTAACCGTCCTGACTAAGTACCAAAAGCCGCGGCCTGGGCCGCCGGCTTTGGCTTTTCAGTACCTCAGGCCAGGCCAAAGCTGTGGTCAGGCCATGATCTTTGGCCTGGCTTGGCCTGGCCTATTCTGGCCTGGCCTGGCCTGGCCCACGGCCTGAAGCCAGGCCATGCACATCACTACTCCCAGTCATCCGTCACAAAAACAAGGTCCATCAAGTTTGCGTGGTACGTGTGTCCTTTCTCTTGCAATATTGTTGATTCTAATGCTTCACACTTGGAAGGTTTACATGGGCGACGTTCTGGAATAATTCTTGATTGATTCATAGTATTCGAGGTCTTGTATCATCATTCTGTGTTATGTTGTCCTTGTCTATATATTTGGTATTTCTGTAGTTATGCTACATCAGCAAAACCCTTAAAATGATGTAGTGCCCTAGCCGAGTACAGCCACCTGTGGTAACTTACAGCATCCACAGTGAACACGTAGCAACTGGCTAAAATCTAATATTAGCACTTGATTAAATTACAGCAGATTACAGCGCTTACAGATGTCTTAGCGGTTCATTAATATAGTGGCTTGTAGCATGATACAGTGGTCAGAGCATGGTGGAGAACTTGGGTGAATTTCAAAAAAAACTTGTAGGTACAAGGTAATCTACTAAATTACTATGCCGCTGCATTCGACTCGGAGATGATGTGATAAAAATCCTTGTCAATGTACTTGTTGAGGAAAAATGATTGAGCGAACTTAGAGCTGTTTTGTGGTGTCAGACAAGTATCAGCAACAGGACCAAAGTGGGGAATAATGTGAGTAAAGGAGCGAAGTTGATCTAGGGAGTATGTCCCCGAAAGGCATCACTCCTGCGTGCATGGCACGTTGTAGGGATTCATTTCTGGCTGGGCTTGCAGAGACTGTTTTTACCTTAGTGTTATGTTTGCACTTTTGTAGCTTACATAATCAAGTTACCTTTTCACCAGTTACCAGTATGAGTCTGAGTACTCAGCAAGTTTTCATGATATTTCCTCTTCTCTGAGCCTTGAGCCTGGTCCAGAAACCCTTTAGGGTCGAATAGCAGCTAGGTTCTGCAAGACCCAACATTGTTCAGACTCACCATCTGAATTGTTGTACCTTCAACGTTTCAGAACATGCATCTGTGTGGTGCGTTCCAATGCCAATCCATGTTGCTGAGGCACTATGTCGAGACGTTGAACATAAGTGAGGAAACGTGCAGCCCACGGGAGAGTTCTGCCTGGTGGTGAGACTGGTAGCATAATGAGGTGAACCTCAACAACAACGTGTCCTAGAGTTTGTACATCAGAACAAAATAACCCTGAAAAATACATTAGATTACCTTTAAGCCCGCTAGCGGGCCATCGTTTGGTGCCGTCAACAGTAAATATGGCAGCATCATAGCAATCATACTTCCAATTGGCATCTGGTGGAGATGCATTGACCATCAGAGCAGGAAGGAGGGCTGACCCGCTGTGGTGTGGCGTCTGCTGCACGCGCACTTTGAACCAAATATTAAGATGCTTGAATGGAAGATCCGCATTTGGTGATGCTCGATGTTGTCCTGTCAACTTGTGGAAGCTTTGATTAGTCTGAGCCTCCCGTTGAATGTAATCTGCAAGTGCTGCTCGCAAGTCAGGCAAACAGAACTTCTCGGCGACATCGTCAATAGCTTGGCGTCGTAAGGAGGGGTCAAAATTGAGATGTATGGCAGTCGAGCCAAGGACGAACGTGCAGAGTGGTCTGGGCGCTGTGGTGGACAATGAGGCAAGTTCTGCCTTCTTGAAGAAATTCGATACAACATGCTCTGTCCCCCAGAAATTACTGATGGAAGCCTGGAGATTGCCTGCCTCATCAGCCTCCTCATCATCATCAACCCCATCATCCATGTCATCTCTATATCCAACTCCAGTGGCAGTATGCGTCTGCGATTTCTCAGCAATAGATGTCACGGTATGAAAATATCGACATTTTTCAACGCGATCCAGGTATTGACATATTTGCGGATCGTAGTTCTGGTTGTTTGTTGATTCTGCTGGATCCTTGATCAAAGTTATGTGAGCTCATTCTGTAGTGTCAGCTGACCACTGTATGAGGGAACCGACTTGATGAATACTTGGCACAACACTTTGCATCATTTTGAGCTTTGGAATGTACCAGTTGTCGAGGATGTTTTTGCTCTTGGCACCCCGACGCCCACCGTGCGCGATAATTTCGTGTTTGTGGTCATGAAATGTCTTGAGAGCATTGAGGATCTTCTGGCATTGGTTTCCATCGATTGTTACTGCTTGTGATAAGTATCGGAAGTCCATAAGTGCATGGACAGCTATGACGACGCCCGGAGGTGCAGCATTCGCAATGACAGCAACAAGGTAACACTGTATGTCCCACTGCGCTCTTCCGGTGACTTGCTTGAGCGTCGAGACACCCTGTTTGAAATGTCGAAATGTCACGAGTGGTTGTAAGACAGAGAAACGAAAGTCAAACTCCCCCGCGCCAACAATTCTAATACACCACTGTACATCATGATCATAGGATTCGTGATGCCAATGGTGCAAGGCCTCCAGAGTCAGAAACTGATTTGGATCTGCAAATTGCCAGTCACGCCAGAACGGATCGACAACACCACTGAGGCAGTAGGGCTCACATGCAGCGAAGAAGGCTTCGACATCTTGAGCGTCGCATGTAGATTTGATGCTCTTGAGTTGTGTAAAGGTGAGTTTGGCTGTGTGCGGGGGGTGTTGGAAGGCGTCACCAAATTGCTTATATGAAGCCATGGTGAGTGGTGAGGTCTTTCCTCGTACACAGGCGAGCATGGCCGCCTTGGGTGTATCCACAATATACGAAGCCAGGGGAGTGAAACAATATCTAAGGTTTCCAGCTGGGTCCGACATCATATGCCTGATGCGTGCAGCCTGCTTCAGTGGCTCAAGGATAATGTCAAGACATTGATGGATTAGGCGAGCCTCTAAAACACCTTGCATGCGCTTGACTGGATGCAAAAAATCAGCGATGGGAAGCAGGGCTGTGAGAAGAAAAGTGTGTGATGACACCTTGTTTTGAACTGCCATTTTGATGTTGGCAAGGCTGATGAGGAGGGGGTGGGCAATGCGTCCGCCAGTCATGTTCGTGATATTGGTCTTATCAGAGGAAAGTATTACACCAAGTAGTGTAGAATTCACTGGAAGTTTGGACTGCAATAGAGAAGTAGACGTTAGACAAATAATCTCACTAGACACCAAGGTGCGAACCTGCATCATCCAGGCTGCTTTGCCAGTCATCCATTCGCCGTATATCCGTACCGTGCGCTCCGCCGTGGTGTATATACATTCAGGTACGAGGTCAATATCCTTGGAAAATCTAGGATTGTTGAAGAGCGATTCAATACAGTCCAGAGGATCGCGCCAATACAGGTGCACAGGCAGTTTCATTGGATGTTCAGTGGAAATGACACGATATTTCCATTTGGGGCCAGAAGGTAGAAGCTCAGCACGACCCTGTAGCTCTTTTGCCATACGATAGGAGAGTGGTAAGGCTTTGATCTGTCAAAGACTTGAGTTTCTAGCTGATGCGGAGTCAGTGAAGGAAAATGTACTAGTTGTTACAACCGCTATCTCATACTTTTACATTCTCACGATATGCCTTCCTTTCTTGAACTTGTACTTACTATCTCACGATGACTTGGTCTGTGCGCACATATGGATCTATTTAAAGCACATGTATTACGCTTGTATTCTTCACTTGAATCTTACTAGGTTTTACCTGGAACATCCTTCGCTTAAGACCTCCAATCTTAAGTCGTCTTGAAACCCGATTCTTAGTTGAAGCACTCCTTTGACTAAGTCCACAAGAACTCTCTCTTGTCTGAGAGACTAAGAATCTCAATGACTGAAAACTCTGTCGAGTTGTCGTTGTTAGAACTATCCTAGTTCGTAACACTAGTTCTATCGCTAGGAAGCGATCTATGGCCACCATACTCAACGTCGAGGACAGTAGAAAACTGGCAAGCTCCCAATCCTGAAAGGATGCAAAGGGATAATACAAATTGTTGTTTCGATGATGTGCATATGCATCATCATTGAACCGCTCCAGGAAAGTCAGGCCCCACGCATGTACCTTTGCAGCACCTTGAAATCGTGTAAAATGCCCCCCTGCAGCTCCACCATCCAGTCTCTCTCCATCAGAGGTAGGCAAACCATTCTCCACATCCGCTCCTTCGTGGTGGTAGGCCATATCATCCCCATCCGAGTTAGGGCCCAGGTTCAATGCTGGCGGGAGATCTAAATCCATTGAAACCCCATGAGGGCTTTGAATACCGGGTGTGCTAGAAGACTGAGAGTGCGATGATGATCGATTGGATTCAAAAGATGAAGGGCAATCCAACGAGTTGAGTATTTGTGCCGCACTTGTGTACTCCACAGTAGTATCTTGTCGACATGATATGAGGGGCTGGCCCAGGTGATGTGTAACACCCAAGGCATCCTTGAACTTCTTTAGACAGTTCAGGCAGTTGGGCATTGGTATTGTGTGCTAACACTGCAAGTAACACCCACTTCACTTGCCTTTTTAATTTTCAGCTTACATACTAGCACTAGTAGCGCAGAAAAACATTGTAGCACCATGAATGCATATGATACAGAGAAGGTAGTGGTACGTACAGTATGGTAGATGCAATGCAGACAACATGGATGAATATACTACAAGTAATGTAGTACTCGGTGGGCTTTACTATGTATCCAATGAACATTAAATGTCAGTGCGAAATGAAGACTACTACTACTCAGGGCTCATTCGGTCACAAAGCCCTGGACTTCATCTTGCCGCCTGCCTTCTTCTTCTTCTTCGTAGTGTTCTTCAAGTTCGTCACCTTCTCTTGTGAAACCTTCGGCTTCTTCGAGTCACGTTCAGTGGAACCACTGGCAAGAGGAGTGAGAGGGGTGATGGCCTGAGATGACTCGCCAGAAAGTTCTGTGGTGTGAGCGGTAGTACTAGTAGCACCCTTACGCTTGTTGTTGTACTTAAAGTTGAACCAATCGACATAACGAAAGTATGCAGTGTCGCAAACAGCGGAGGACATTTGCATAGCGGCGGCAGGACCAGTTGAACAGTAGCTTGGGTTTTGAATCACGAGCTTTGTCTATCATGCTCTTCTCGAGCCCGAACCCCTCCATGATAGAGATGATCTCGGCCTTGAGGTTCGCAGCACTCATGTTGAGTACGCGATCTACATTTACCATATCCACAACAGGGATGAGAGTCTGGGTTTTTGAATCATAAAGTGAATCATAACACAAAAAACGGGACGTACCCCTTCAGGCATAGTGCTCAGGATCCCTCCAATCGAATTGAAACTTGCCTGATGCTTCATCCTTCAAGTAGACTGTGATTCTAACTGCCTTCAACTTCAACCAGTTGTGCCCCCCAACGACTACAGGCCCATACATCGTGTCAGATGTTTTGGGCGGAATGAGGCTCTTGAATTTCTCGCGGGTCATCCGCGATCCAGATTTGCGAAGCGACTTTGCAACCTCAGTGTGCTCTTCGGGACCTTGGAATGTGCCGTCCTCATTGATTGATATCTTGATTAGCATCTTAATGTCTGAATTGTTCTTCACCATGTTCCCAAATTTGTGCATGATGGATGCGTTACTTTGGCTGAAACCCACCTCGACGAGCCACTGAACGAAGCTTTTGTCGTTGCCAAACTGATCAACACAGTGCACGACACCCATGATATCCGGGACTTGCTGCAATGATTCTTCATCGGGGAGCCGATTGTTCATGAAGAATTGTGTGTCAATGTACTGGTCATCGTGACTGATTTGCGAAGAGTAGGTGATGAAGCACTTCTGAAGCCATGTGATGATGGTTTCATGTATGGGGGAGGGGCTCATAATCTCGACTTCTTGAGTGTCTGGAAAGTAGTTGGATCTTGTATGTGTCAGTAACAATCAACACAAGATGTAAGTGAGCAATCTGAGCAGCTGGCTTACCTGGCTTTGAACTTTATACTAGGAGATTCAGACGTAAACGATAAGACAGCCGCGTATTCTGCTGGTGTGATATGCCGGATGGTCTTGAAGGGCGTTAGAGATACTCGACGGACTCAATTAATACCTTACGATCGTGTTTAGTTGAAACCACTGAAGTTCTTCAAGAATGGTGATACAGTGATCTTGAGAGTGCAGTCATCAAATCTAACTGAAAAGAAAAAGATCGCAAATAATTTGTACCAATATTCAGACCTTCATCAGCATGATCGCAGTTAAAAGCAAGTGTTTTTATGAATGCTGCTTTAAGGTTATCACCAAGAAGGATTAGCTGATCAAGGTCAGGTAGTTCTACTACAGGCTTGAAAATGTCTTCATGCAATTCTTCAAGTGTTTGTTGACCAAAGACGAAGGATAACTTCGGATTGGCTGAGGGTGTTAAAGGCAGCCAGTCTCCTGACTGGCCTGCAGATTGAGTAACATTAGAGTACAATGAGGGCGTTGAAGGTACAACAATTCTGATGGTGATTCAGAACAATGTGTTGGGTCTTGCAGAACCTAGCTGCTATTCGACCCTAAAGGGTTTCTGGACCAGGCTCAAGGCTCAGAGGAGAGGAAATATGATAGAAACTTGCTGAGTACTCAGACTCATACTGGTAACTGGTGAAAAGGTAACTTGATTATGTAAGCTACAAAGTGCCAACATAAGGTAAGGTAAAGACAGTCTCTACAAGCCTAGCCAGAAATGAATCCCTACAGCGTGCTGAGGGGGAGAGACCCATGTCTGCTGGCACTGATGGCCATGATGGAGACTCGTTGGAGAGTGTTTAAGTTAAGATGCCAACAAAGGTCTATCAATACAGCCCAGGCAGGAGCTCAACCAGTGGCCAGCTGACATATCTAGTTGTGGACTAGTGCTCCATTGTTCCACAAAAATTCATACTACTACTAGTAATAATCTACTTCAAGTCTGTCTTTTTGCACAATTTTGCTTGAGCCATGCAGTTATTGCTGTCAGATTCAATGATATTCATAGTAGAAAGCCCATGCGTCATGGGGACAGCTGGGACTTTGAGCAAGAGCGGAGTTCAAACCTGAAATACAGCACTCCGCAGTGCTACACAGTGGTACACAGCAGCATACAGCGGCATGTAGCAGACACGGTGGTCTGCAGTGCCACTCAGGTGCTCTGTACTAGGTAGCATATGTAGTATACTTCATGTCCAATAAATCATTCTTACTGATTGTGCAAGACTCAGAGAAATACATTAAGCTGCCACTATCACAGCCCCTAGTACAGATTCAAAAGAGACTCAAATTGGAGGCCACAGGGGTTGACACGGTATCATAGGTACAATGTAATACAACAAGAAGATCGCATTATAAACCGTTATCTACAGGAGCCTCCGAGTCATGAGTGGGCTGGCATCCAAGCGTCAGAGAAACATCTTGTGGAATATGTGAATTGAAGAGTTACTGTACAATTTAAAGTTGCTTACCCAGGCGATTGGCTGGTACCAGTAGTTCATCCAAGTCATGAACTCGACCATCATCAGATGTGCGACGACGTTTTCGGGGCTTCGAATTACTATCTGATAATGTGACACCGCTTTTGCGGATGGAATGGCATATGTAACCGATACTGAAATTAGCGTCCATGAGCTGTTTCTGAGCTTCTTCTGCTTGAAACCTGTATAGCCTCCCAAGTGCTTCATTCTCTTTGATGATGGAGTCTGCAAGTTTTTTTTCTGCAAGACGAACATCTCGCTGTGCTCTGGAGGCGTCCAAAACTAGCCTGGCTCTAGCTTCTTCGGCGGAGTCAGTGGATTCCTAGGCAATTATCAGCACTCATAGTATACCATAAGTATGAATAGATGTATAATTTACATCACCAGTAGTACTTGTGTCACTCTCATCATAATCTTTGTTTGTTTGGAAGGTGGACACATGTGCAACAAGGCTATGGTGCGACTCTGAGATATTTGGCGTGATCAAGTGTTGCATGAGCCCTCCAGCCTTGGAGGGTATGTATTTTGGAAGAGCACCAATAGCTCTAGGAGTTCCAGTTGACATTGGAATACATTGTACTGATTGCCAATGGGTGGATGGATAACAGGAGTCTGGGGGAAGATATGTTCGGGGCCGGGTATATGGACTTTTTTGGCTCGGGAGGGAGAAGCAGGTGTCACAGCATTGAGTGGGCCGGATGACACAGGAACGGCTACAGTTGGTGTCACTATAGAGGCTTGGTCATTAATAGTAGAGGACATAATGCAATAGAACAATGTATCTAGTTGAAACAGTTCACGAGCATACGGGTGTCTACGGGAGTATTATTATGGCATCAAGCGGACTCAGTAGCAATAGGTAGATTCAATTACAAGTCTACATGTTGCTTTTTATCTCATATCATGGGACTTAGTTTATTTAGCGAGTTCAGGCCATCTGTCTTTGCCGTTGTTTCCTCCACCAACCATGGGCAAGTTGAAGCGTCTGCGAGTGGTGCTATCTGATTCCTCAGCGCTCAACCTGAGTGATTACGACTTGGAGATCGCAACTCCACTTGTCGAGCCTGAGGTTGACTCACCTTCGGGGCCTCGTCGGTGTACCAGACGTCCCAATGCTGGAAAAGGTGGAGCAGCCTCTCAGTTAAGGAGGGCTGGAGAAGCTGTGATTGATGAACCAGGAAGATGCACTGGCAAGGGACAACAGTTTGTTATACCTGATGGAGAGCCGGAGAACATCATGGCGCCATCTCCAGCGAAAAAGAGAACTCGCAAGAAGGGTAAAAAATCAGTAAGTTCTACAATGTGAAGCTACACATTCCCTTACACTTAATATTCCACAGGCTGTACCAGCAGTTACGACACCAGATCAATCGGATGATGCAGGTTTCGCACCTTCTCTGCACGTTGCAGAGCCTGGTGAAAGGTTCAGGTTACAGAAGAACCCCATTCCTCCGGGTTACGTCAGTTTGCAGCATTTTGGGTTGGAGGAGCACCCTGAGCATCTAAAATCTTGTATTCAGCGGGATAGACCACGCTCCCATACTCACACAGAGGTTGCAAGAAGGCCTGCTGTTGAACCGCCTGTCATACGTGCACCCACTATCCATGGGGCGCAGCCTACCATCCCACGCCCGAAGCCACCTGTTCGCAAAAAATCGTCGGGGGCAGGTCGAGCTTTTCCAGACAGCGCTTCCTCCATCTTGTGGCCTGTTGCTGTATCGGAAAATGAAGAAACCGAACATCACGGCGACAAGGATATGTCCAAGGTTGATGATGGGTTAAACATGGTCGATGATGACAAGTTCCCTCTGAGCAACGACGAAATGTGTACCTCTCCACCTGTTGAATTGTCAATTGACAGATCTGCAGACGAGAATGAGGATATCGGCCACACCCAGCGCCATCAAGGTCAGGCAGAACAACGGGTCGACCGCCTTGGACATGCATCTCGAAAGGATGACAGGCAAGATAGGCGTAAAGATCACGGTGAGCGGAGCCAACCACAAACTAGTTGATTGCATGGTGCTAGCAAACAAGCTCGTTCCAATACAATAGCGGAAGTGGTAAGTAACTACTATATGGTATACTCAGCTTGGATTGATCATGTTCATCAGCCTAACGTGGATTATGATGTCGTTAAACGGCATCAGAAGACCAATCGTCGTATTTGGTCTCCATCACCAATGTACTTGCATTCAGTGCGCCATTCTGGCTTCACGGTCAAACAGCCGAACACCAAGCGCGCTTGCACCAGCAATCTCCGGTCAAACAACGATCGTCAAGCGGCTGTGGACTCTGATGGTGACATGAAGGTTGATTCAGATTCAGAAGTCTGCGGCTGCACAAAGGCAGCCAAGAATGCACAGGGCAGTGCTGTTGTTCCAAAACGGAAGACTCTTGGTTTCTTTCCAGATCTTTGGGTCAAACTGCTAAATTACACAAAGGCCTGTTTCAGGTTGCATCTTGCCATTGCAGACCCATTCCCTGCACGCAAGGAAGCCCTTGGTGATACTGGTATATGCTTGGAACTAGTCATGGAATCGATCATGGCTTGGGAGGCACAAAATTGCTGTCTTGAAGCAGATTTTTTTTTTTGGCTGGTCTAATAGTAGTGTGTCGCTAACAATTTTATCTAGGTTTCTACCCCCAATACAAGTATGACATGGCCACTGTTGTAAGGGTCGTTTTTATCTGAGATTCCCCATCAATACTCAAGTCCATACGCCGGCAGATCTATAATGATTCCATCAACTTTCGCAGTAGGATCAAGCAAATCACGATCAATGTTGTTCCTGTGGAGTACAAGCTGAGTGGCAGTGAGAGCGAGATCAAACAGAAAGCAAGTACATTGTTGAAGGGTTCAACATATTTGCATGGAGACCGTGATGAGCATGTATGCACCATCATAATCTCAAAATCTGATGCTAACCTGCTAGCAGGATCGTACTTCTAACTTTGTGCACAGCGGCCTCCGCTCTGTCTGCCTTCAAGCATTCTATGACGGCGGTTCGAAATCATTACAACAATTTCCTGAATTTCATAACACCATCCCTCGCAAAGCCCTTCTCCTCGTTGCCACCATCGTAAGCCTATCGAATCAGTCCGTGCATCGTTGTTTTTTTATTGATTTATATTACTCTTTGTATGGCCATGTGAACACGAAGCAAACAGCTTTGGGAGATTCCGGAAAGGTGTACCATAAACTAACAAATATGCTCAAGCAGGTCGCAGATGATGAATATCATAGCGAGAAGCTCGATGAAGCGCTCCGATCTTGGGCTCTGACTGGCATGTATGTGTTCCTGTGTTATTTAAACTAGTACTATTGATCATCGACATCAGGAAAACCCCAACTTACTTAATCTTGCTTAATCAACTTAGCCACATTTGTTTCCTCTCTCATGCATCATCTACCTAGTAAATTTTGTATTTTTTTAGTGTAACCTGTAACAAAATATGTATGCTAATATGACTGAACAACTTTTTCCTGAATATGTCAAATTTGAATTTCTAGCAAAGTAGGCTAAGTCACTAAGTACGACTTAAGTCTGTTTAAGGCAAGCTTAAGTAAGTTGGGGTTTTCCTGATGGAGACAGGACTGGGGTCATTGTTGATGATGAGCCTCAAGACCTCGAGAGCGATTCCGACTGGGTGGTTGAACTTGATTAATATGCACTAGCCCTTACATCCCATACTGATCACATCATATCTACTACCGTATTACCCTTGCTTCAATGCTAATGTTTTCATATTGCACTTGATACCGCTTGTGGCATGCGAGAACACATCTAAACTATCTGACGTGCATAGTAACAGGCAGTATTTAAAGGATTGTACAACTCTGTGTAGTGCTATATAGCTACCTTATACACCGCTGCACAGTACTAATAATAGTCTACACAGCGCTATATTTAGCGATCGTGAGATATTTCAGGTAGCGACGAATGAGTTCCTGCACAGCTTGACTCAATTTGGCAGCACTGTGTGGCGCTGTGGCTCCACTGCACAGGGGGGGACTTCACTGTGATGCTGCAATCACTGTATGGCACTGTGTGGTACTGCACATTGCCTCAAATCACACAAGGGTTTTGCTGATGTATGTAGCTTTGAGCCATATGGAATCAATTCTTGTCACACTTTTGTTTGAGTCTGGCCACTGAGCTTCAAGTCAAACAACTTTATAATACTAGATTATGCCACTAGGAACCTTAGCCCTGTTTAACTGTGAGTCTTGTTTAGCTATGAGCGACTGGAAGTGTTGTGTCGCTATGAACTGTGAGCCTGTGTGAACTGTGAAGCCTCGTGACTTGCTGTTGTGAGGCCCCATGTGTGTGACCTCTGTGAGAAAGTTGTAGTTTACTGATGTTTGCCAAAAATATCTATCAAAAGCATCTCCTGCCCGATTCTGTGATGGAAGGAAATCGATGCCCGTCTAGTATACTAGTGTACAGCGGGCATGATTCCTTATCATAAACCACCGTGATCCAATTTTACCGAGAATGATCTCAGCGACACAACTGTCGCAGCTGCCTCAGGATGTGCGGGTGAATGTTTTGCGATCGATCCTTAGTTTGTTATCGCCATAACTGATGTGTCACTTAGAAACTGGTTCAGAGAGTGTCCATGAATCGTTCGGTTGCAGACTTTGAGAAGCTGTGCAATCGACTTCCACATTGTTCCGCATTTGAGCTATGTATCCTACAGCCACTGCTCTACATACATCTCGATCCAGAACGCATTCCTGCGAAGTCAACTCCAGCCGCTGCCACTGATATAGAGCTCGTCTACAGGTCGCTTCACGCGATTGTTACAACTCTGGGCTGTATCGATGGTGGCCCCCCGGCAGGTTCGGAAAAACAACATCTGCTTTCCGCCTGGAACCGTGTCGCTCCCTGGCTTATCTTCTTTCATGACCAATTCATCATGTGCAGAGCCAACTATCGACTCGTCGACAAGATGGCTGCCATCAGACTTGTTACTAGCTTACTATTTTATGTCTCAACTCTTGGTGACAAGCGCAGCATAACCATATTGCTTACCACTCCTGCCCTTTATCGCCCGATCGCAGAGTTGTGGTTGTTAGCCCTGGAAACCAAAGACAAAGACCCCGCTCGCACTACTTCTTTTCGAGTTTGCGGCGTCATGTTGGTTTCAGTATGCGTTCACGATGAATCCTTTGTGACCATACTACTCGAATTGTCAGGTGGCATTGACGCCGTCACTTCTGCAGCTCTGAAATATCTCAAGAGCTTACGGTCGATGGCTAAGGACCCTGACATAGCCTTCAAGGCTTTCAAGTTCGGGCTGCTTGTACCAGTGTTTTCGTGCTGTATTGGAATTATTGCAACCATGAGCATGCTGGATGCGGCGATACGGGAAGCATACGTCCCCCGGCAGTCCGTCAAAGAAATTTTTGGGGCTCTCCGTGTTCTTCAGTCTCTTCCTCTGGGTAGAGAGAGCATGGCGGATGCCCTTGCCTCAAGTTTTACGTACCTCGACTTTCTCCTTAAACGTGGCGACGACCCTGTATCAGCACTCCATCAAGCCCTTTGCGCACACGCCTTCGAAACAATAGTCCATATAAGTCCTTCCGGACCGGAGGTGAAGGTAGTGGAGACGGATCCTCGTAGGATCAACGAGGTTTTTTTTAGGATCTTATTCAGATACAGTCTTCACGACAAAATATTGTCCTACGTCTGTAAACATGTGGACGCTTGGTCTAATAATCTCGGACCAATCGTGAGACAAGACGAACACCTCTTGGATATCTGGTCCAGTCTAGAGCAGACCATTCGAACATATGGGACACTTAAGTTCAAAGCAGAAACGATATGGTGGCCATCACTGAGTAAAAAGGGCTGGGTTCTACAAGTCAGTCACAGACTTCATTGCTTCATCCCTGCTGATTCGTCGTCTTAACACTACCAGTGTTACTGCAGTGGTACTGCAGAAGACATTTGCTTCAGGCAATGTGCGGGATGTCAGGTTGTACGGTATTGCTCAAAGCGATGCCAGCGTGATTCCTGGCACAGTCACCATAGGTTGAGCTGTAATTTTTTAAAGGCAGCTGTCGGTAAGTCGTCTCGATAGATATGCACATTGTTTCCATTGACAATGTACCCAGGGTCATCGACACCGCACCGCATTAAACGTAGTCTGCGTCTGCTAGCCGCTCTAGAAGTTGACCATATGCAACGCAAGTTGGACAATATTCAGAGATTGTTCGCCGCTGCACAGTGCGAATATCCGAAAGATCGAGAACGACTTGTGCTCGAGCTCGGTCTTGATAAGGACGACGAGTCTGTTCGACCTCTTCGAGACTACCTCTTCCTGTTCAACGGCCTCTCTGAAAATGAGGTCGTAGACCGCATATCATCATCCTGGCCGGATCCAAGGGGCCAACGTCAAGGACAATTCCTTTGTTCGGTCATCACGATACACGATCGATATGGGTCGCGGCAAATTTTATTCAGTCCGTGTGCGGCATTAGATATGGAGAAAGTGCCGCAAACGCTCAGCCGTAACCTTCAGGACGTGTGAATTCCTGTACATCGTTTGGCGGGACTTGCATGCGTTTGTTCTTTTATCTGCTGTGTCGGGTCGTGCTGCCGGCCCCGACAGGGACGATGTAGTCATATCACTTCTGATTAGTAGTAGTACGACGGTTCATTAATCATTGCTTTCTCCAGTCGCCTTGTTTACCCCTCACGCACTGTATATGTAGTACAATTCAATTTAGATATATATGACTTCGGAGTGAAGTCTTTTGGGATCGTAGACCCTGTGTCGGACATGATGAATGACCAGCTTCAGTTGTGAGGAAGCCGCAGCCAGTCATTCATTGTCAACCTTTTCTTTTCCGACGTACCAACGTACACCGAAATTAAAACCAACAAAAATTACAGGATGTCAGTACTAATCCGTGTTCAAAACTTCCCACTAATTCCAATCTCATCCGTGCTATGACGACGCAATGTAGGATCAGCAATGTATGCGAGTGCTGTGTAGAGCGAAGACGTACAGCCATTGGCGCTTCATATTTCTTCCTTCGCGATTCCAGATCTGACCCAATATAGAACATCAATATCGATGAACAAGTGCAAGCAAGACCTGAGCAACATGAGCTCACACACATTGCTGGTAACGGCTGAGCGTTTGTACTGTCTCCATATCTAATGCAGTATGTGGACTGAATAAGATCTGCGACGAATATCTATCGCGTATCGCGACAACCGAACACAAGAATGATCGTCGAAGATGGCCCCTTGGATCCGGCCATGACGATAAGCGGTCCACGACCTCATTTTCAGATAGACCATTAAACACAAAGAGGTAGTGTCGTAGAGGTTGAACTGATATCTCTTCCTTATCTATAGTGATCTTGACAACGAGTCGATCCTGATCTTGTGGATACTTGCATCGCGCAGCGGCTACCTGGTCCTGAATATCCGACCACCTGCACAAGACCACGCGAGCTTCTATGCCAGATAGCAGGCAGAGACTACGTTTCACGTAGTGCGATGTCGATGAACCTGGACAGATTGTCAATGAAAATGATGTGAGCCGAATGATCGAAAAGACTTGCCAACAGCTGCCTTCAAAAATTTACAGCTCCATCTGTGATGACTATACCAGGAATCACGCTGGCATCGCTTTGAGCAGTACCGCACAACCTGACATTCCGAGCATTGCCTAAGCTGAGTATCTTCTGTAATATCACCACAGTAACACTGTTCTTTGGGTAAGTTGACCTGCAGGAACGAAACAACAAAGTCAGTTACTGACTCGTAGAATCCAGCCCTTTTTATCAGGTGATGGCCGCCTTATCTTTTCCTCCCTGGACTTGAGACTGGCATATAATCGTATCCTCATCTCGACTGCAGACCAGCGCTTTCGGATGGTTTCGTCTGGTAACACATCTGGTCCAAGAGCATTAGACCAGGCGTCCACGCGTTTGTACGCGTAGGTCAATATTTTGTCGTAGACGAGGAAAATGTCTAAGACCACAAGAAAACTTCTCTTGCAATCATGAAGATCCACCTCCACAACGGGTCCTTGGATGCCCATGGCTATTTCGAAGGCATATGAGTGGAGAGCTTGATGTAACACTGGGACAGTGTCATTCGCATGGAAAAGGAGAGCAACGAGGTACACGAAACTCTGGATGAGTGTGAATTTGCCAAAGTTGGGATCCATGCTCTCTACAGAAGAAAAAAGAAGTTGGATGATGCGGCAAATCAAGAAAATCTTTTTAATGGATAGTCGTAGGATGAATTCTTCCCGCATTGCGGCGTTGTGCTTGCTTAATTCGATAATGACAATAACGCAATTCGAAAACGTGTATGTAAGCATCCCGAGTGATGTTGGAAGGCTTGTGACTTTATTAGGGTCCTGGGCCATCGATCCTATGTGCATGACGTATTCCAGAGCTGTAGAAACGACCGTGCCAATGTCGCCTGACACTTCGAGCATGGTTGTCACAAAGGCTTTGCTGCTCGTGCACTCTGCAAGCACCAATGGGATGACAATTTCAAGAGAAGCGAGTTGAGGGCCATAGATCGATTGATTACACGGATGCTGGGGAATGATCAGCACATCCTCGTCTTTTATTTTGAGGGCGAGTAACCATAACTCTACGAGCAGATGGTAAAGGGAGGGTGTGGTGATCAATGCTGTGTCCCCGCCGCTTGTGATCATGTTATTGGCCTGCTGCAAAATACAGCCAACCAGGTCGACAGCTAGCCTCCTGCTAATTGGCCTATAGTTGGCTCTGCGCATGATAAATTGGCTATGAAAGAAGACAAGCCAGGGAGTAACACGGTTCCAGGCAGAAAGCAGATATTCTTTTGGCTCAGTGCCAGGACACTGTGACTTGTTCAATGTTTTCATGATCCCAACAAGTGACCACTTTGCGAGCTCAATATCGGTGATAGCGGCTGGAGTAGACTTTTCAGGAATGAAATCTGAGTCGAGGTGTATGTAGAACACTGGCTGCAGCATACATAGCTCGGGTGCGGAGCAGTCTGTAAGTCGATCACAGAGCTGCTCAAAGTCAGCTACCGAACGATTCGACACTCCCCGCACCAGCTTCTGTATGATATATCAGTATGCAGCGATAACAAACTAGTAAGGATAGATCGCAAAACGCCTGCCTGTATATCCTGGGGCAGCTGTGACAGTAGTATCGCTGAGATCATTCTCAGTAAAAATGGGCGGTGGCAGGTGGTGACTGAGTCTCTCGTAGGTAAACCAAATCGAAGGACTTAAGATCTAATGCGGTAATCATCGGCCCTCGAGGCCTCATGTTCATACACTGGATTAAATGTCGAGTCGCTTCAAGTCGATATCGAGAAGTATAAGTGTAAACAAGTATAAATAGCGCTTGCGTCCGAGTCAGTCGCGGCCACCCCAAACCCTCCCAAACCTTACTACAGACGATAGATGAAGCTAAGCTTATAACAGATCATATAGCCCTAATTGAATTGTACTACATATACAGTGAGTGATGGGTAAACAGAGCGACTGGAGAAATCAATGAACGTTAACATTCGTACCAGAATCAGAAGTGATATGACTGCGTCATCCCTTTTGGGGCTGGCAGCCAGACCCGATACAGATCAAAGAACAAACACAAGCGAGACCCGCCGAAAAATGTACAGTAATTCACACATCCTGAACGTTACCGCTGAACGTTTGCGGCACTATCTCCATATCTAATGCAATACACGGACTGAATAAAATTTGCCGTGCCGCATATCGATCGTGTATCGTGATAACTGAACAAAGGAATAGTCCTTGAAGTTGGCCCCTCGAATCTGGCCAAGATGATAAGCGGTTCACGACCTCATTTTCAGAGAGGCCATCGAACAGGAAGAGGTAGTCTCGAAGAGGTCGAACCGATTCTTCGTTCTTATCAAGAGCTAGCTCGACCACGAGTCGTTCCCGATCTTCCGGATATTCATACCGTGCAGCGACGACCAATCTCAGAATATTGTCCCACTTGCGCTGCTTATGGCCCACTTCTAGAGCGGCTAGCAAAGGCAGACTACGTTTCACGTGGTGTGGTATCGACGAGCCTGGGTACATTGTCAGTGGAAATAATACGCATATCTTAACATCGAAAAGACTCGCCGACAGCTGCCTTTAGAAATTCACAGCTCAACCTATGGTGACTATACCAGGAATTACGCTGGCATCGCTTTGAGCAGTACCGTACAACCTGACATCCCGCACATTGCCTGAGTCGAATGTCTTCCGCAGTACTACCGCAGTAACACTGGTAGTACTGAGTCGACGAATCAGCAGGAACGAAGCTGAAGCAATGAAGTCTATGACTGACTTGTAGGACCCAGCCCTTTTTACTTAGTGATGGCCACACTATCATTTCTGCCTTGGACCTAAGTATCCCATATGATCGTATTTTCTGCTCTACTTCGGACCAGACATCCCAGAGGTGTTTGTCTTGTCTCACGATTGGTCCGAGATCATCAGACCAGGTGTCCACGTGTTCTGAGACGTAAGACAAGATTTTGTCGTGAAGAGTGTAATCGATTAAGACCCTAAGAAAAGCCTCATTGGCCATATGAGGTTTCCCCGGTCCCACCATCTCCACTGACAGGTGTTCAGAAGGACTTATGTGTACCATTGTCTCGACGGCGTGTGCGCAAAGGGCTTGATGGAATACTGAAACAGGGTCGTCGGCACTTTCAAGGAGAAGGCGGAGGTACGGAATAGTTGAGCGGAGGGTCCCCGTCATGCTCCCTCTGCCCGGAGGAAGAGACTGGAGAACACGGAGAGCCCAGAAAACCTCTTTGACAGACTGCCGGAGGATGTATGCTTCCCGCATGGCAGCATCGTGCATGCTCGTCGATAAGATAATTGCAACACAGCACGAAAACATTGATACAACCATCCTGAGCTTGAAAGTGTCGGAGGCTATATTGGGGTCCTTAGCCATCGTCCGTATGTTTTTGACATACTTCAGAGCTGCAGAGGCGACGGTGTCGACGCCACCTGACACTTCTGCTAGTATGGCCAAAAAGGATTTGTCGCATATACATTCTGAAATCACAAAGGTGCCGAAAATGCGAAAAGAAGTGGTGCGAGCGCCGGCCCGCGATGACAAGCACACTACATCTCTGTCTTTGGTGTTCACGGCTAACAACCACAACTCCGCGATCGGGCGATAAAGGACGGGAGTGCTAAGCACTGATATTTCGGTGGGGTCGCCCTCAATCGCAGAAACATGAAATAGTAAGCTAGTGACAACCCTGATGGCAGCCATCTTGTCGATGGGTCGATAGTTGGCTCTGCACATAATGAATTGGTCATGAAAGAAGACAAGCCAAGGAACAACACGCTTCCAGGCGGAAACGAGATGATGCTTTTCCGGACCTGCCGAGTCTGAGTCAATACCAGAACCATCGGTATGCAAAGTTGCAACAATCGCGAGAAGTGACTGGTAGACGAGCTCGATATCAGTGGTAGCGGCTGGGGTCGACTGTGCAGGAATGCGGTCTGGGTCGAGATACATGTAGAACACTGGCTGCAGGATACATAGCTCAGATGTGGAGCAATCTGGAAGTTGATTGCACAGCTTCTTAAAGCCTGCAACCGAACGATTCAGAGTCACTCTTCGGACCAGCCTCTGAGTTGACATATCGGTTACGGCGACAGAATAAGGACTGATCGCAAAACACACCTGCACATCATGGGGCAGCTGTGACAGTAGTGTCGCTGAGATCATTCTCGGTAAAATTGCAGTGGGTTTATGATCGATTGATCGCTAAACTGATTTACTGAGGGGCTGCTGACTCAGACCCAGTCTGCCAGATATGGAAGGATTAATTGATCTTGGCTCGATGTTTACAGAAACTGAGAAAAATACGGATGCCTTCTGCCACACGAACATCCAAGAGCGCTTTTCCTCGCAAGATTTACAAGCGCATCCTAATATACCCAATGAGAATATGCAAACTGTTGTGAGCCATTCCAACCCTCCTGGATAAGCTGGTCCGGCTCAAATACTCGTGAACAGACCATTCTCGTTGATGACAGGGTTGAAGACCAACTTCCGTCGAGTATAGCGATCCATGAATGACACGAGTAGTGCAATACATGCGTTTAAAAGTCAGGGAAGATGTAACGAGCACAAGGCCGAGGCGTTCTAGATAGTGTATTTGAACGATGTCGAGCGTTGTGCAGCACAAGCCAAATGACGGGTTCCTGGTATTGCCTGCATAATTCACTAACAACACAAGAGTCCTAGATAGTGCTGAGATAAGTTTGTGATGCGTAGAAGGGAACTTACTCGACAGCTGGACCTATAAGGTCAAAAGCGTGTTCGGCTATCCAGACAATGAGCCGGATTGTGCGGAGCAACTCTTTGGCATCCACTTTTGAGGGGCTCACATAAATGGCAGGAGTGAAGTCCCTTGGGGTCGTAGACTCGGACATGATCTTGTCATAACCTTCATCTATCGTCTATAGTAGAGTTTGGGATGTAAATACCTTTGCGCGACTGATGCAAACGCTATTTATACCCGTCTAATGTTGTAGGTTTTTATTTATACTCTCGACCTCCAGTCGGCTTTCTATTCTGAATGTGAACCTCGGTGAGGCGATATCATTGATAAGCGTTTCGTGGCGTAGTATGAATCTACCATATAAACATGAAGCCTTGAAGCTTGAAATTTTAAACTTGAGGGTCGATGGGTCAAGTCGGCCAGTCGGCAGGAATGACACAACAAAGTCTGTTGCTCGTAGATTCAACCCCTTTCATCGGGTGATAGTCGTCCTCCCTAGACTTGAGACTGGCATATAATCGCATCGTCATCTTCATCTCGACCGCGGACCAGCGCTCCTAGATAGTTTTGTCTTGCATTGTGATTGGTTCGACAGCATTAGGCTAGGAGTCCACGTGTTGCCACGCACAGGTCAAGCCTTTGTGCTGAATGAGGTAATCGTACAATCCCATGAAAATACTTACCTATGCAGACTACACCTCCGGGGGTCTCGAAGGACCCAGCGCTGTTTCAAGGGCACGTGAGCGGAGAGTTTGGCAGTAATATAGCACTTGTAGCACCAAGATAGTGTTAGTGTCACTGTCACTGTCGGATGGCCAAGGAAACCCGAGTCGGCGAGGTACTACCTCAAAACCCCAGAAGATTGACGGTTTGAGTCTCTGCTCCATGATCCCTGCAGAAGACAGAAGTTGGCACGCGAGACTGAGTAAATTTCTTTGACGAACTGTCGGATCCTCGGAGGATGCATTCTTCCCGCATTGATGCTGTTACTCATTTCCTGACCTGCATTACATCATCTTTGAAACATTTGATGCATAAAAAAAATAGGCTACTTAACGGCTTGCAGAACAGGCGCACAAGTCTGAGTCTCTAGCTTCTGTTCTGATGCATCAGAATGATATTGTAGCCTGAATTGTATGGGATATAGGGACAACGAGACCAGGGACATGGACGAGCTGAAATTAAAATTGGCCGAACGGAACCGAATTCTGGTTCGCTATACTTTTCCCACATATCGCTGATCGGGTTGGCCCTGTACCCGTTAGCACTTGGCAGGCAACCTTCACAGCAAACTTGGATAGACTGAAACTTTGAAGTCGGTGCCTGCCCATCCCCTCTCGGATGGATTTCTCTCTTACATCGAGACGGCCGAGCCCACCATACACATATACTACTGGTGACTGCGCGGCGTTCGCGGTAGAGCGGTAGAGGTGGCCTACACACCACTGTCACATCCTTCGTGCATTCACTCAGAGCCACTCTTGGCTGGCCACACAGCAGAGAAGACACCGGAATGCAGAATGTCAGACCCCAGGTATCAGAAGGCGGTACCGTGCAGTATCGATGATTACGAACAGCCTTGACAGGTTCATGTCATTGTCTAACGCTATATAGCGATTGATGATTCTCGCCAGGTCAGCGTTATCTAGGACGCAATCTCCCCTCACCTCGAGTCTGCTTTCTCAAGATATTACTCGACAGTGACACCTGCGTCTCCTCTCAATATCTTCCTCTTGTCTTCCTCATTCTTGAGTATGCACTTCGTTCGCTTCTTTATATGTATTTCTTCTTGTCTCTCTGTTGCTCGTGCTTTCAGTGTGACTGTTGGGACTCCCACTCAATGTGGCCCTCTCAACATTTCATGGACTGGTAAGCGCATATCTAGTACACTTTATACGCTCCCGCTGAATATTATCGGGGTCGTCAGGTGGGCAAGCACCATTTGAAATACTTTTAGCTCCCGTCCGTCGGCGCTATCGTCTCAAGCGCATCAATTGTACACTAACCTTTGTGCTTTCCAGTCTTTGCAAACGTATCAGAATTATACTGTACCAGCATCGGGCTTCAGCAATGGCAAAGGCTCTTTTTCAATACCGCAATTGTCATTGCCGACGGGAACTACGTTTCTACTCGTCATGTCTGACGCTACCGGGTTTGGTTCGGGCGGGACGTCAAATATATTAACTGTCGGGAGTTCAGTTGGAGATAACGTTTGCAGCACTGCAGTTTTGTCACCTCCTTACACGTTCCAGTTGGATCCACTTCCGCCGATACAATGCAGGTAAGTTTGGTCCGCCTACTTTTTGTGGCACTGACCTACCACTACTGCAGTCCATGGACCCTTCTGGCTCAAAGTACTGCAGTCCTGCCCATTACTATTGTGGTCAGATCATCGCAAATCCTATGAAAATAATCTACTTATCTTGCCACAGCAACTTATTCCTGGAGGACAATTGACTATATTCTATTCCGATAGCGACAATTTTACCTCAGTAACAGATGTTACCGGAGGGACGAACCTCATGTATTTTGTCACCGACTCCTTGGGCAGACAAGGTGGGATCTCTGGGTTCGAACAGGTGGTAGGGACGGGTAATTTCTCGTGCATAAGCACCACCTCGCCATCAATCACTGCAGGCATATCATCCACGATCACGGCTTCATCTATTTCAAGCAGTTCAGCAAGCAGTTCGACTACAACTAGTACATCAAACAACGATGTTGCTATTATCGCGGGCACGGTGGGCGGCAGTGCGGTGGTCCTTATAGGATCGGTCATCCTCGGCATGTGCTTGTGGCGTAAACGGAGGGCATCTCGCTCTGCAAACGTTCAGCCTCCCACACAAAGCTATCCAGGTCAACTGCAGCGTACAGATCCAAATTACAAAGTCGGCCCTCACGGTGACATTCCGCCATCATTCCCTTTCCCATCCGAAACACAAAACTACTATATCCGACCCATTCAACACAGCCTGGGAGCCCAGTCAGATATGACCAATTCGTCCGCCGGCAACTTCGCACTTGTTGCACATGCCTCATCCACAGACTCTCCTGTCTACGGGGATTTTCGTTCGACTGTGCCATCTGCTTACAACCGCCAATCACCCCCGTCTATCGGAAACTTCACTACCAATGATCCTCGCACACCATTCCATCAGACATTGCATTCACGCCAGGGCGCAAACGCAGACTCTGCTGCGTATGGAGACGCTCGAAATTTGGCCATGTCATCTGTTGACAGACGAATGACTACCGTCGCTGAAAGTCCATCACAATTATCACACGAGGCAGATCTCGCTAGCTACCTTGGACCATCCATTCAATCTGGATTACAATCAAGCCCCCTTAATGCGCTTGCCACCAACTTGGCGGCTAGGGACCATCATGCACCCTTCAATCAGACACAGCCTTGGCACCAGAGCTCTAACACAGACTTCTCTCCATATGGAGACGCTCAAATGTCAGATGTGGCACCCATCGAGTATATGGCTGTGGGGCCTCGACCAGCACCACCATCACCACGGAAGACAGTCCCTGTCTACCTTACTCCATCCGTTCAACCCGGAATCCAATCAATTGCTACCTCTGTGGACAATGTCGCAGTTAAGAACTCCCTCACATCCTTTAATCGGACACAAAGTTTCTCTCAGAGCCCCGACACAGACAGCTTAGCTGTGCACGGAGCATCTGGAGGTCAAAATATGGCGTCGGCTAACGCGCAAACTGGCGCTGATAATGTTACGCCAGGCAACAATGGTTCAGTTGAAGCTCCGCCGCAGTATTCAGATGGTCGGGGAGTAGGTGTCTTGTAATCTGAGTCTGCGTCATGACTACGTCCTCACACTCTTGAGTCTTCGGAAATGTATGGGTATGCCTATTAGCGCGTTCGTTTGCACATGATTTTATCTCGTTCGAGTTTTTCAGGCCTGTCTTCAGTAATGAAGTACAAGGCCTACTTTAATTTGGTCCCTATGTATGGCATATTTTTCTCGAGCGTCTTATGATATGTAATAACATGTATGTACTTTAGTGACACACCAGGAAATATTTCCGATACTGTAGATAATCACCGGTCAATTCGAGCAATGGTTAATCTTTCAACTCCCGTGATGACTCCTAGTTCTTAACGTAATGGTAACTCACTGATATGAACACCCTGTAATTTTAGTTGGTCTTCAAGCTTCCGTCCTGTGACAGATCCCAAACAAATTTGGATTTACCAGCAAGTTTATAAAACAGCTCAAGATGTGTGTATAGATTCGGTCTACGTTAGTACGCCGGGAAAGACAAGTCAATTGACAACGATTGCTTGGCTGCGACTTCCTCATGACTAAGTTGGCCACTCTCCGTCAACGCCCCATCGACATCTACATGCGCATCGACCGTTTCGTCTCTGACAGCAACCTTGACGTCCCATTCCTTGATACCAACTTTCCCGCCCATGCGATGCCACACCACGAACATACTAGAGCGCCTTTCCTCGCATAGCTTTACAAGTGCTTCCCAATATAGGCAATGGGAATACGTAAACTGTTGTGAGCCATTCCAACCCTCCTGGATAAGCTGGTCCGGCTCAAATACTCGTGATATGCTGTCGGCATCCCAGGCTTCCGCATCTGCAGTCGTCCTAAACAGACCATTCTCGTTGATGACAGGGTTGAAGACCAACTTCTGCCGGGTATAAGGATCCATGAATGGCATGAGTAGTGCAATAAATGCGTTCAAAAGCCAGGGAAGATGTGCAACGAGCGCAAGGCCGAGGCGTTCTGGATAGTGTGTTTGAATGATGTCGAGCGTCGAGCGACACAAGCCAAATGTCGGGTTCTTGGTGCTGTCTGCATAATCCACCAACAATGCAAGGGTCCTACATGGTGCTGAGATAAGTTCTGAAAGAAATGTGATGCGTAAGAGGGAACTTACTCGACACCTGGGCCCATGAGGTCAAAAGCGCGTTCGGCCATCCAGACCATAAGCTGCATTGTGCGGAGCGACTCTTCGGCACCCACTTTTGAGGGGCTCACATAGATCGCAGGTCGTCCGCGAGTATCGTAGCCAAAGAGAAACGCTTTTCCGGTAGTCGCCTTCAAATCATTCACATTAATCGTGGACATGAAGAACTCGCTGCCTCGTACCTCTGGTTCAACACATTCAGGAGTGATTTTGTCGTAAATCCCAAATTCACGTCTCCACTTGAGCGTATCTTCTAAGCGCTTGATGGTCGTATCTGCGTTCCAGTTGGTAGCACGTAGAAACCTCAGAAGACATTCATATGACTGTTAGTCACCATAAGGCAGGGTAACGCGGGTCAATCGAATGCACAAAATCGAAGAGTGCGATAAGGTGCACCGACCAGCCAAAATTTTTCATCCACTGTCAGTGCAGCCTTCTCCTGGCTGACATTCGGGAGCGAATAGTCAACGGCAGTGAAGTGTTCGAGGACACAGTCATATGAAGTCTGGTTCTTCTCGGAAAGTGCTGAAGGTGGTGCAATCTCGTGCGAGCGAGTCGGGACTGGGAGTGGGAGGTGAACTGACATCGCAGTCGTTGGATAGAGCTGTTCTGGGGTGTCCTAGTTTCACATTATATATACGTTAGTTATTGTAATCTCCAAGAGCTTTTTCGGGAGTCTTAAACGAACAAGTGGAACGACTCGAAGCACAAAGAGTACTAGTGACTTGCTGGGCAGATCGGCGGGGTTTTCCTAGTCTTCCTAGACCTGATAAAGAAGGCAGAAGAGAAGAGAACACGCGCCAATTCATTGAAGCTGCCCTTAGAAGTCAAAAGCAGAAATGGCTTGGTTTCAAACTATTAAAAGGCTCGGTCACCTGTTCTGTGACGTTAATTCCAAGGGTTCATCTGAGCAATCTTACATTATCCATCTTGATTTGGATTCTGTGGCTTCCACGGCCGCATGGATTCGACGCTGGCGCTCCGCCCAATGCGTCACTATATCTTGTCTTGCTCCTGGGACTACTTTCTCATGGATATTGCGTACACCGTTTATTACAGTGACTCGGACACCTATTACTCCCAGTCTCCCACACTTCTCAGCCAAGAAAGTGTTAGTACATTTCTAACAATTCCGCAAGCACAGGGTCTTGCAGTCGGGATTGCTTCAAAATGCTTCCATGAACTACGATGACCATTGAAAGGAGGTATGATCGGGGACTGTTTCATGATGTTCATAAAACTCACTGACACAGTCTAATTTGCGAGGTGAGCTCATGATGTGAACGTAGGCTAATTCTCTTTTCCATTGAAGTTGTTGCTCTATTCTCACTGATTACTTAGTCTCTCCAACACTCTGAACGGCAGTATGCCGATCTGTCACTGACCTCATGCGATGAAGCGTCATAGGATAACATCGTCCATGGGAAGTCAGATTATCTGGGTGTTCTTCAAATTTCGTTAGTCGTGCAGATGTTTGTGCTGGGATCACTTGACTCTTAGCGCTTGGAAATAGTATTGAGCTAGGCTCCTGAGTCCTGGCCGATTTTAATATGGGAACTGGAATGGGTGGGCTCATGGGATTAATATTGAGGCTTTTCGGCTGCTGGACAGGGAGCTGCGTATACGTTATTTGAATCGGAGTTGCCAGCGCAGCTGGGTTACTGCCGGAGGCCTCCAGCTGTCGTACGATTGATCCTAATCATAATGTTCAATCCAAGGCACGAAGTTCCTGGCCTGGTGTAGCTTAGACGAGGTACGCCAGGGCAGGCTTCAGCACATACCAACTTGTTACTCTGGGGAGTCTTTAAGCGACAGCCCCAGGCATATGTCTTGACCTGGCACGCGTGTACATCTTCATCCACCACTCCGGTATAATCACATTAGCGTGTCAGTAAAGAGAATGCTACTGCCTAGGGCTGAGGCTGGTATCGTCATTCTCCGTCAATCCCTTTTATAGTCTCGTCTTTGACAGCAGCCTTAACGTCCCATTCCTTGATACCAACTTTCCCGCCCATGCAATGCCACGCTGCAACCATCCTAGACCGCCTCTCCTCGCATAGCGTCACTAGCGCTTCCCAGTAAGCGGCATGGGAATAGACAAACGGCTGGGTGCCGTTCCAACCCTCCTGGATAAGCTGGTCCGGTTCGAATACTCGTAAAGTGCTGTCAGCCTGAGCTTCCCATACTTCAGCGTCTGCAGTCGTCCGGAAAACACCATTCTCATTGATGACAGGGTTGAAGACCAGCTTCTGCCGGGTGTAGGGATCCATGAATGCCATGAGTAGTTTAAAGAATGTGTTCAAAAGCCAGGGAAGATGTGCGATGAGCACAAGGCCGAGGCGTTCTGGATAGTGTGTTTGGACGATGTCCACTATTGTTCGGACCATACCAAATGATGGATTTCTGGTGTTGCCTGCATAATCTGCCAGCACCGCAAGCGTCCTAGAGAACGCCAAGATAAGATAAATACTATCATGATGCGTAGAAGGGCATTTACTCAACACCTGGTCCCATAAGGTCAACGGCGCGTTCGATCATCCAGATAATGAACTGGATTGTACGGAATGACTCTTCGGCACTTAGCTTCGAGGGACTCATGTAGATGGCAGGTCGACCGTGAGTATCGCAGCCGAAGATAAACGCTTTGCCGTTTCTTGCCTTCAAATGATTCGTATCAAACGTGAATTTCAAAGAACTCGTTTCCTCGTACCTCTGGTTCAACATATTCAGGAGTAATTTTGTCGTAGATTCCAAATTCACGTCTCCATTTGAGCGTATCTTCTAAGCGTTTGATGGCCGCATCCGCGTTCCAGCTGGTAGCACGTAGATATCTCAGAAGACATTCATACGACTGTTTGGGTATCGATCGTTGATCAACCAGATGCACAAAAATGAAGATTCCAATAAGATGCACCAACCAGCCAGAATTTTTCATCCACTGTTAGTGCAGCACCCTCCTGGTTGATATTCGGAAGCGTATAGTCTGCTGCAGAGAAGTGTTCGAGGACACAGTCATATAACGTTTGCTCCTTTTCGGGAAGCGTTGAAGGTGGCACAGCATCGTGTGAGTTCGTCGGGATAGGGAGTGGGACGGAAATCGACATCGCAGTTGTTGGACAGAGTTATTCTGACGTGTCATAGCTTCATGCCATGTAAGCCATTATACTCCCGAGCTTTTTCGGGAGCGTCAAGCGGAGCCGAAGCCCGGATTGAGAACGCTATCGAACGGTTCAACCTGTGGAATTTCCATGTACGTCCAAGTTGCCGTATGATCAGGAGTGCGTGCTCAGCGCTCAAGGCCAGTGATAAAGATAGCTGACTTGTCCTGTCACGTGCGTACATTTTCATCCACGGCTCCATGCTCCATCGAAATTTATAGATTTAGTTGAGATTAGCGCGTCAGAAAAGAACAGCAAACAGGCAATAGTGTTTACTGTCCCCTCAGGACTGTAACTGGCCATTCTTCGCCAGCACGTTTTCTGCATCTACCTGCACGTTCATCGCCTCGTCCCTAACAGCAATTTTAACTTCCCACTCCTTAGTACCGACCTTCCCCCCAATACAATGCCACGCCGCAACCATCCTAGACCGCCTCTCCTCACATAGCTTCACTAACGCTTCCCAGTAAACGGCATGGGAGTAGACAAACGGTTGGGAGCCATTCCAACCCTCCTGCACAAGCTGGTCCGGCTCAAACACCCGTGATTCACTATTGGCACTCCAGGCTTCAGCATCCACAGCTGTCCGAAAAAGACCATTTTTGGTGATGACGGGGTTGAATACCATCTTCAGCCGAGTGAGGGGATCAATAAACGGCGTTATTAGTTTATAGAATGCGTGTAAAAGCCAGGGAAGATGTGCAATGAGTGCAAGACCGAGACGTTCTGGATAGTGTGTCTGGAGAATGTTGAGCACTGTGCGAGCCGTGCCGATTGAGGGGTTTTTGGCTTTATCCGCATAATCTATCATCAACGCAAGGGTCCTAGATAGTGCCGGAATAAATTTCAAAAAGGCGATGGGGTAGGAAGGGCACCTACTCAACACCTGGACCCATAAGGTCGATGCCGCGTTCAAGCATCCAGACAGTATAATGGATTTGACGTGGTGACTCCTCAGTATTCTGCTTTGAGGGGCACATGTAGAGGGCAGGTCGACCCCGAGTATCATAACCAAAGAGGAACTCTTTGCCAGTGGTTGCCTTCATTAATTATATTAAACGAGTGAGATTGAGGGAATTCGTGCCCTCATACCTCTGGTTCGACATGTTGAGGCGTGATGGTATCGTAAATCCCAAAATCACGTCTCCATTTTAGCGTGTCTTCCAAGCGCTTGATGGCCTGATTCGAATCCCACTTCGTGGCACGTAGGTATCTCAGCAGACATTCGTATGACTATCATCGGTCAGGATAACACTGGTCAACCAATTACACGAAATTGAAGAGTGATGAGAAGGTGCACTGACTAGCCAAAACTTTTCATCCACTACTAGTGCGGCCTTCTCCTGGTTGATATCTGGAATCGTATAATCTGCAGCAGAGAAGTGTTCGAGGACAACGTTATATAAAGCCTGCTCCTTCTCCGAAAGTGCTGGTGGTGACGAAGCCTCGTCTGGGTGAGTTGGGATAGGGAGGGGGATGTGAATCGACATTGCAGACGTCGAACAGAGCCGTCTTGAGGTATCCTAGGTATCTTTGATGGTAGTTGAATAGCTTGAAACCTGAGTTGTGACATAATTAATTAGTTTTGTGATCGCGAGCTTTTTCGGGAGCCCATGATGATAATAAGCACTGCCAACCGTCAAGTCTAAGAGCGCTTCTCACTTGTGAGCACATTTGAATTTCGCGCGGCTCGTGTAATTTCAGATGGCCTCATGATCATCGATCAGGTGTTACTGCAAAGCCGGCGTCATCCAGCTTATCTACTGAGTACTCCCAGGAGTTTTAGGCCGATTACCGTAAGGATAACACTGTCTCCCACCTTCAAGTTGTGCTCACAGTCTACATCTTCGTCCACCACTTTGTCGAAACCTGCAGCAATGTATCCTCCCATCAAGGCCTACGAGTCTGGTTTTTTCCAGGGCGCGAATTCAGATAAACATCAGCTTTAGTATGTCTTCTGATCATCTATTGCAACATCGATGATAATCGATCGGAAGTTATGAAGTGAGTGGAAACAAGGAAGGCGATCCAGGTATGTGCTCTGATGATATTTCATGCAGTTCAGAAACTCCAGATCGAGGTTATTAACTGTTGACTAGTTGTCTTTCTCCACGGGGGTCCAGGAGGTGGAACAGATCCGAAGGACAGACAGTTCTTTAACCCCGAGAAATACAAGGTAAGCAACAGTCATTTGATAGAGGGCATCTTCCTATTAATATGAATTGTACTCTCTCGATGTTGTAGATCGTGCTATTTGATCAACGGGGTGCAGGAAAGTCCACTCCGTAAGTCCCGTCAATTCTTTGACATCGCTCCTGCATGAAATTGCGTAGGAGCGCGGAATTAGAGAACAATACAACGTGGGACCTCGTAAAGGACATCGAGGTCCTTCGGCAGAAACTGCATGTCACGAAATGGCACGTATTTGGTGGTAGCTGGGTTTGTGTTAGTGCATTTTCTTCTAGACTTCATCACTGATGGAGATGTACAGGGCTCTACGCTCTCCCTTACATACGCCCAGGTCTGTGATCTGGTTCCTTCTATACAATATCTTGTCTGAGCAGTCAATTCGTTACATAGGCACATCCAGACAGAGTCAAGTCCCTCGTACTCCGGTGAGCCTCGGTGATGTTGGTTACATGCCAGGCAGTTCTAAACAACCAATTCTTTCAAAGTGGAATCTTCACGCTAAGACAAAGGTATGCATTTCTCGATAAGCTAAAGTAGAGCATGTTGACCACTTCCTACCTCTTCCAGCGAACTGCGATTCTTCTATCAGGATGGCGCTTCCCATCTTTTCCCCGAACAATGGTAATTTAACATAGTAGCGACGAACCTTCATCGTCGGGTGACCTAGTTGTATAGGGAAGAATACCTTGCCCCAATTCCAGAGGCTGAACAGCACGACATGATGAAGGCGTATCACAGCCGCTTGAACTCTCCAGACGCAAATATCAGACTGGCCGCTGCAAAGGCGTGGGCGAAGTGGGAGTAAGTAGAATACCCTCCACTCCGTTGGTACTATGCTCGTTGCTGACATCATGTTACAAGGATGGCTACATCAAGGTTGATCGTAAGTGCGGATGCTGTCGCCGAAGCGGAAAAAGATGACTTCGCAAAGTACGTGGACTCGGTGGCGAATTCTATTTTCCGCTGAATTAACATTCAGCGCATTTGCTCGGATCGAAAACCATTATTTCGTCAATGAGGTTTGTCTGTTAAGAATTGGCTCGATTGTGATTTATAGTGGCAACTGTGCAGGGCTTCATGCGTAATGGTCAATTGCTTGAGAAGCAGGAAATCGATAAGATGTACGTGTATTCTACGCGCGTCCTCGATCCCCTCTCACTGTCCCTAGCCGTCACATTCCAACTATCGTGGTTCAAGGAAGATACGATGTTGTATGCCCCGTATGCAGATTTTTCATGTTTTCAGAGACGCCCTTACTAAACACGCTTGGACCAGGCGACTACTGCTTGGGCTTTGAAACGAACCTGGCCAGAAATTACTCTGCACATCATCCCAGATGCAGGACACTCTTCGCGCGAGCCTGGCATCGAGAAGAAGCTTGTAGAGGCAGCTGATATCATGGCTTCCAAGGGTTTGTAGTAACACGAGGTCTATGATCAGAAGAAAGATCCTGAATTTTGAGATGAATTGTGTAAGATACTAAAGATATGGAGCTTTAAGTTGTATGCAGTAGCATTACACATTGTTTGGAATACATAGCAATAAGTATACAAGTGCGTGCAAGAAACTGTCGGCAAGTTTAACGATCGTTTATTATCGTGGCCATGATCGTTGTGTGAGTTGTCGCCGTGACCGTGCTTGTCATCGTGGCCGATGTCGTCGATGTTGTATCACGTGATCACGTGAAACATGCTGGATTGCAAGACACGGATCACCTTGGTGTACTGTATTAATTTTTTTCATCTCTCCCGCCCTGGTCAACACGCCTCTTGGAAGCGACTTGGACCAGAAACCATTAAGCTGCGAGGAGCTGCGAGGGCACGCCTCTTGGAGACGGTTGAACATGAGCGTTCCGAGGAGTCATGCTTGACGGGTTCTACTAGTATCCAACTGTACCGCCCATGTGAACACTAGACGAGGTCACCCGGATCCGGAATATCTTGCGCGTGAAACTTGGCAAGAACTTTTCTCTTGTACGCAACCTCTGCGGCATGCCACTAAGCCGTCCTGATTAAATCGACACTGCCCTACGCTGTACCGGACATCTTGATCTCACCTCCATCTTCTCAACGTCAAACATGAATCTTCCGCACAATATACCCCATCTCTAGTATTTTGGATGTTGGCTCGCAATGGAAAAAAGCTAACCATACAACATTTTTTGACCTGGGTCCTTTCTACCAATTCAGATTGCGTTTGTAACGTACAGCGCAATCTGCTCTTAATCCCGGTCACATCAGTAAGGGGCGACTACCTGAGTTTTCTACCCATTCACTGCAAATACGACATGCCTCGAGATCATGTTACAGGCTGTCCGTCATGCTCTACCCAAAACAGTAAACGGAGTTTCATTTGGCTTGCGCCCCATCAGAATCAATCACCCTTAAGGCTGACCTATCCATGATCCTCACATGGCTATTGCCCCGAAAAAGCACATTATCTACGCTGAGGCCATGATCTTGGCATGATACTGATCGTGTCATTCCAGTAGGACGGGGACCTCTTCACCCGCATAGGAGAACTTTTTCGAGTTTTGAGCTTGCTCACTCCGGCCCTGCCGTCAGGAAGCAAGTGTACGCATGTACTTTTCAATTTACAGAACATACTCTCCGCGAGCTTCTATGTATTGACTCCGTGCTGTTTCCTCCTTGCGTTTTCCAGGCCTTCTCCTTGCTCACCTAATGTGATCTAGACTCGTCGCTCACACAAGTGCAAGGCATACAAGCGCAGCGGCTGGCTTCTACCATGATTTAAGGACGAGGATTCCAACTGTCTCAACAGAACAACGCTCCTCTCTAGCTCTTCAACCCTCACCGACTAGCTACTTTCAATACCAACATGACTGACGTTCTTGGTGTTCTTGTCATCGCCCGTAATGGTGACCGCACAGAGTACTACCAAGACCCTAAGACCTACGAGAGCTCCTACACCGAAAGCACTGCCCTTGGTGCTGTAAGTCCCTGATACTACGCAGCCCGTAACTTCCCTAGCTGATGCAGCCTTACCACAGGCCGAGTCTCACCAGCTCGGAACCTTCCTTCGCTCGACCTACATGTCCCCGGGTTCTCCTTCATATATCGCGAAATTGAAAACCGACCTGGTGGACACCCATGAGGTCCACGTCCATGTCAAGGCTGGCGGTGAGGGTACCGTGATCTTTGACTCCGCTATCGCCCTCCTCCAGGGTCTTTTCCCTCCCAACCCTGCCAACAGTATTGTTCTTGCCAATGGGACCACCGTCATTGCCCCCCTTGGTGGTTACCAATACGTTCCCATCGAGACTGTCGAGCCCTTCAACGACAGGTCCCTTGAGCCATGGACCGACTGTCCTGTAAGCAATACAAAAGTTCAAACCTGGAGAACTGCAATCTCACCTTGACCTGCAGGCTTTCGAGCAACACATTTCCAATGTTTACTCGTCTCCTGAGTTCAAGGCGACTGCACATGCTGCTGGTCCTTTCTTCGGTGCTGTCAGGGATTACGTTTTCGGCCGCTCTGCTAGTCTTGAGAATGCTGTGGGTTACACCATTCATTTGTTGATACATATGCTGATTACCTCTGATTTAGTGGAATGTGTGTCGCCATGTAACCTGGATTGCTAATGTTGGGTTGAACTTTTTCTAGATTTACGACTACGTCTCGACCGAGCTCTCTCACAACAAGACATATGCTCATCGTCTTCCCCCCACCTTGGTTGAGCAGGCTCGTGGTTTGGCTGACTACCACGAGAACGCCATCTTCTCGGACAAGGATGTTGGTGGTATTGGTAACTGTGAGCCGATTTCGATTCATGTACGCTGTCCATTACTAATCTTGTTGTTGTTCAGTGGCTGGCCGCACAGTCCTCCACACGGTCTTGGAATCCCTCCAACGGATTGCATTCAATGGCGACCCTCTGCAGTTCCTCCTCATTGAGACCTCCTACCAGCCTTTTATCTCCCTGTTCCACATGCTTGAGATGACCAACGAGAACCCTGGGCTTGCTGCTATCCGTGCGTATGACCTCATTTTAATGCATCCAGCCGATTAACGCAAAGACTACAGCGAACTACGCTTCTGCTCTTGCCTTCGAGCTCCGTCGCGGACCTCCCCCTGAAGACCGTGACTTCGTCAGGATCAAGTTCAAGAACGGTACCAACGGCGACTTCGAGACCTATCACGCTTTCAGCCACAAGGCTGACATTTCTGCAACGGAATTCATCTACAAGATCAGGGCAAGCACCTACGCTAGTTTTTGAGTTTGCTCTTCTTAATGCCACTGTTCCAGAACTACGCTATTACCAGCCAGAAACAATGGGCCGCTGCTTGCACCTCAGGTCTTCAGGATGACTTGTTCCACATTGGTTCCCAGAACGCGACCTCCAGCACTGTCTTTGCCATTCTCGCTGCTGTGTTCCTCCTCGGCATGTTTACTCTCTTCAAATTCGTCAAGAACGCCCGTGCCAAGGCTCAGAGCACTCGCATCCGCCTTGCTGACGACGAGGTGAGTCACTCGCACCTACCTCAGAGCCAGCATCCCAATTATGGAACCGTTTTCAACGTCGGTCCTGGCATCGCGCCTTTCTGAATCGTACCGACAAACTTTCATTTCCTCTTGTTCATGACAGAACGTCGTCGCTCAGTCCGTCTCCATGAACGAGAAGCAACGCCTTCCCTTGTGAACGTCGGTTAGCAGGAGTCGGAGGGGTTGAAAAATATCTGCACTACGTACTTCAGTGGGGTGGGTTTCTTGTTTGATTGGTACTTGGACCACATTGCATTGCTTCATGGACTCTTGCCACTTTGTTTCTTCTCGTTTGCAATATGACTGCTGTATAATTTATTATCAGACTGGATTCCCATAGCTTTGAAATTTCACGCATTTTCTCGGATCTTTGCTATGACATTGTGAACTGATGATATAAAACCAAGGTGACCCATCGGATCGCAGGGAATCCAACGACGGCTGTTCTGGAACTTCTGCTGATTCACCGCTCAACATGTACAAAACCTGGACATCGTTTAGCGCAACCCGCAACCTTGCTATTATGGCGTAGTCCTATCCGAACGCTCATGTCAAGTAGTATTTTGCAGGATGCATGTCATCGATCACGGAAGGAAATTATTTTCAGGACATATGATAGGTGAAGTTTTGAATACTCATACACACTGGTGACACACAATGTACACTTTCGAATCGAAGCCGTCACTTTGACTTACCAGCGATGTCATTCTCAGCGACCAAAACCGCACGGTACCTCACTTCTCCAATTTCAAGCTTATGTATCGCTTCCTTTATACCATCCTCAGTCAATGGGAACTCCTCGATGATGGGTTTGATGTGGTGAAGTGCTGCAAACCGTAGCATCTTGACATGCGTTCCACGCGAGGGGCAGATGCTGCCCTGGAGCGTGATGCCATTAACGACAAGCTGCATATACGGCAGGGTGAGGGCGTCAGCGGACACAGTGAGCGGGTATATCTTGGCATGTGGTGCGAGAGTATTGAGGTAGCTGCAAATGATACGACACTTATCAAACGATACAGTCACAAAATCACAGAAGGCACACACCAATTCCAGTCGGGCTGCTGGGATGTTGTGACAAAGAGGTGTTTGAGGGGTGCCCCTATCTCGAGCGCCTGCATGTTCTTCGTCACGTAGTAGAACTCACTTGCGCCGAGTTGCTTCGCCTCAACCTCTTTACCCTCTGTTCCGGAGAACACCACGACCTGGCAGCCCATTTTCGCAGCGAACTGGATGGCGAGATGACCGAGGCCTCCGACGCCGATAATACCTACCCGATCGGTAGGTATCATACCATAGAGGTGCATAGCGTTGAAAACGGTCGCGCCGGCGCACATAAGAGGAGCTGCTTCGGAAGAAGAAATTTCATCGGGGATATGGAAGAGGAAGCCAGCTTTCCAGATAGCGTGCGAGGCGAACCCGCCTTGGTCGAAGTCGGAGAACCCGTACATTGCACGTTCTGAGCAGAATATTTCGTTTCCACTGAGGCACTCGTCACAGTGCCCACAGGAGTTATGCAAGTATCCCCAGCCAGCACGATCGCCTCTGCTTATGGCGTTAATTTCCGACTCTCTGGAATTTTAAAGAAGGTGCATACGTTTTGAAGTTGGTGACCTCGGGACCAACCTGCTGCACGATGCCGACACCCTCATGGCTGAGAACCATATCAGATGTCTTGTAGTGTAGATCTGTGCCACAAAGGCCGGCGTGAGTGATTTTGAGGAGGACCTCGTCAGGTTTGAGACCGTCTTTGTGGGTTGTTGACGCAACGATCTTCCCGCTGGGGGAACCTTTGAAGACAGTGATATCGATACCTTCATCTGTCATGCCTGTCATGGTGTATGTTCAAGTTATGAAGAAGCGATGAATTGAAATGGCGGGATGAAAGAGAGAGGAGACATTAAGCCAGCGGGGGTCTTATATCTGATCAGGGGTGCTGACTCATGACTCTAATGGTATTCAAGAGCTTGAGCCAGGCCGACTTCAAACGTAGACGTCGGTTTTTTAACTATTTTTTGAGTACAAGTACGAGTCTTAGACTCCGAGGCTGTTGTGATAACGAT